ATTCTTATCTTTCATCTATCTTTCTCTTTTCATAAAACTTTTAAGGTTCTTTCTTTATTTTTAGAATATCAGTCACATTTTATATCAAAAATCTAATAAATATTTTTCAGATTTTATCCCTCGCATCATTTTAATATACTTCATTTATAATTGTTTAATTTAGCAAATATTAGTTTTGAGAATAAATAAATAACCAAATTAGTTAATTATATAGAAAACTAAACTTTATGCATCTCAAGTCCCATAAAAATAAATTTATTTTTCAAAAAATATTAGTAATTATTGAATAATTCAAGAAAATTGACTCATCTTAGATCAATTTCTTTTTTTTTAATAAAATCATTTATTACCTCAGTTACATCTTCAATAAATAGATATTTATTTAAATTTAAGAAAAGAGTTCGATTATTCTTAAATAAATAACTAACATATTTAAATGCTAATATTTTTATATTCTTGAATTTGTAGTGAAGCATATTTCTACAATTAGTATAGTAAAAGTCTCAGATAATAAATCAAAACAATTAAATGTATGTCAGAACTTAAAATCTCAAAATTTGAGATATCTGATTTAGTTTACAAATGAATATGTTCGATTCTACATTAAAGATTAATATCAAATTCTCTCTTAATCATTTTTTGGTTTGGAATGTATGTTATTTTCTAAGAAGAAGTGATGAATAACTTTAATTATTTCATTTTTTCTAGAGTAATTCTTTTTTTGATTGATATTTTATAGGAATATATAATGCTAAATAATATTTTTAATTAATTCAATAATGAAATATTTCTTGTTATGAAATATAAAGAATAATAAAGAATATGCGTTAATTAAGATAAGAATGATGCTATTTTATTTACAAGATGATTTTATCTATTTCATTTTTATGTTAATAAAAGTATATCGAATTTTGAGGAATATTTATTTAAGGGTTCTAATGAAATGGTTTATTAATAAAAAAAGGAAATATAAATAGATTTTTAATAATAAATAATAATAAAAATATCATATCGATTTTTTAAATAGAGGAAAAAAGGGAAATAAATGAAAAAGTTGAAATTTAAAGAAAGGACGTATAAAGTTGAATAATCTGGAGCTTTAAAACGTAAGATTAATGCGGGTAAAATATATAATTAATAATTAAAAAGAGGCGGGTAATGCAATAAGAAGAATAGCTAAAGAAGAAATTAAAGCAAATAATAGATGATGTAAGTTGTCTTTAGAATGTAGTCGGATGATGATGAGGAAATCTGTAAAAAAGTGAAATAAGAAGATCCTTCTTATTCAGAAGAAGAAGAGGAAGTAGTTGATGTAGAGGAATTGGAAGAATCAGAGGATGAAGAAAAGGGAAAGAAAAACAAGAAATAAGAAAATATTGAGGTAATTTTAGAAATTTAAGAAATAGGATGAGGATTATATATATGTTGACAAATTACCAAACTCTGAGGCTATGTTAAAAGATTTGAAAAAGTAAGTAGAACAAAAAGTAAAACATTATAAAATGAAATACATACAAGAATATCATGAGAATCATACAAAATAAAGTTTTGTTAATAATGATGCAGTGCCAATTTGTATTGATGTTAGATTAATGGATTTTTAAGTAATTTAAATTAATAAAAATTTTAGAAATTAAGAGATGAATAATTAAAAATAGCAGGATAGTTGTTTGATGTAATAATGATGGATCCTCCTTGGTAATTATCAAGTTCGCAACCATCTAGAGGAGTAGCTATTGCATATTCTTCATTGGCTGATGAAAATATTAGTAAAATGCCTATTGAAACATTATAAGACAATGGAATAATATTGATATGGTAAAAATTATAAATTTATTATTTAGGACTATTAATGCTAAATATAAGGTAACTTGTAAATTAATTGAATAATGGGGTTATAAATTAATTGATGAAATTATATGGTGTAAGAAGACAGTGAATGGTAAAATTGCTAAAGGACATGGATTTTACTTATAACATGCTAAAGAAAATTGTTTAATTGGTGTTAAAGTTATTTTTATAAATATAATATAGGGTAATCTCAACTTATAACCAAACAGATTTCGATAAGGTGTTGCCAGTGATATTATATTCAGTGAAAGAAGAGGATAAAGTTAAAAACCAGAAGAAATATATTAGTATGTGGAATAACTAGTTCCGAATGGTAAATTTATATTATATTTTAGGATATTATCTGGAGATATTTGGAAGAAGAAATAATGTTAGAAAGAATTGGGTAACTATTGGAAATGAGTTATGATTTGTTTCAATATTATTATTTTTATTTATTAGTATTCCAGTATCAATTAAACTATTAGAACTAAAATTTTTAAATATAAATTTTTAAATAATACTAATGAAAAATATTAATAAAACCTTCTTCTTAATTATTTAGTAATTGTTCAATCGAATTTTCTTTATTGTAATTTATGTAATCCTATTCGGCAAGAAAAATATAATTTCAAGTTATAAAAAATTAATAATTGTATTAAAATATTATAAATGGATACTCCTTAAGATTATTCAATCTTTAAAAGTAATTATTATTTCAATTTTATAAGTTGTTTTAACAGGAGATACAAAAGTTGGAAAAACTAATATACTTTATAAGTAATTTACATATAATATACTTAGATTCACAAAAAATAGTTTGCCCAAACAATCAATACCAACAATAGGAGTTGAATTCTGCACAAAATTTATAACAAGTTCAGATAATTAATAAGTTAAACTCTAGATTTGGGATACGGCAGGTTAAGATCGATATAAATCAATAATTATAAGGTAAAATTAGATGTTATTTTAGTCATTTTCGAAGATCATCTGGAGCTATTATAGTCTATGATATCACTTAAGAAAAAACATTTTAAAGTGTTATTAATTGGTTAAAAGATATAAGAGACTAGACAGATAAAGATGTAGTAATTATGCTGGTTGGTAATAAAAAAGACATAGTTGACTAAAAGGAAGATGAAAGGTTTTTTCTTATAAATATAATAAATATTAGAAAGATATCTTATGGATATGCTTCTGATTTTGCTCAGCAAAATGGTTTATTATTCGAAGAAATAAGTGCATATACTGGTGAAAATATTGAAAAAATTTTCAATATATTAGCTTAAGGTATTTTACTATATTTATAGTAAGCAATTATAAAAAGAAAAATACCTGAGTAATAATAAAAATTAGACTGTGCAAAGGAAAAGTAGCAGATTGAATGAATATTATAAGAATAATGGAGATGTTATTAATAAAAAGTTTATATATAATAAATGATAAAATTTTATCTGTTTTATGAAGATATCAGTTAATTTATTTCAACAAAATAAGAATAGATTGAATTGGAAGCCTTAAGAAAGACTATAGTAAATATATATTAAACATTTTAGACATGAATTATATAAATTGGATATATTTGATATAATTCTTATTATAATTAATCATTATTCTTCTAATAAGACTTTCTTTTTATCTTAAAGAAATGAAATTTTCAACATTTCTTTATATATCAAATTGCCTAAGACTAACAAAACAAACCCAATTAATTCAATTAAATTTGCCCATTTAGATGTATTTTCCCAAACTCTTGATGTTGTAGCTGTTACTATTAACCCAATACCCCATATTAAAATAGTTCTGATAGTATCTACAACAGTACGAGTCAAAGCAGATACATACTTTGTTACATTAACACCAAATATATTAAATAATGCAATGCTAAATATGCCCATGATAACAGATACAGTTAACCATGCATCTGCTCCTAATTATTGGAAGAATACATCAGTACATTCCCAATATCCTTAACCATTACGAAATACGCATCCTTCTTCAAAATTACATGGTATAAAATTTAGTATTGGCATTACTATACCAAAATATAATAATCCCCACATTCCTTCTACACCTACTACATAAAAAACATGATAATTGTATTTTTAGAATAGTTTTTCTTCAAATATATATTAAGCTGCTTAAGTAAAAAGTGATACTATAATTAAAGCGATAGATATCAATTTTATTTCCCAACTAAAATCATCACTTTTTGATTTTCTAAATAAAAAATTAGACAATCCTACTATGAATATACCTAATATGGCCAATAGAATTCCAAATTGTTACTATTTTGACAATTATTTCTTTAGAACAAATTTTGAAAATCCGGCTGTTACTATCATAAGCTAGATAGTTATATTTATACTCCTCCTCTTAACATTTAATATATAGATGACGGAATGAAATTTAATGCAACGTGTTACAATGATGATGTAATTCCATCAAACAATGCTGGAATCGACAATATTTTAAACCCTCCATTTTCTTTATTTGGATCTTCTTCTGCTTTCATTTTAAATACAAAGTAAAACACTATACAACATGCCTCTCCTACAAACATACATAAAGCCTATCATTTCATTATATAAATTATACTTGCATATAAGGATGTATAAATGTTACACCATCAATCACTGTCGTATTTTAATACTTGTACACTAAAGTATTCAATGTACCAACCAATATCATACCCACCAATAATGAGTTTATAAAAAATACACTTTTCTACTCATTATTCGTCATATATTTAATTTTTATATTTATTCTTAAATATAGACTTTATTTCATTAATCATTAGTACTTTTTTGTTAATTAAACTATTGTCTTTTTTTCTTAACTTATTCCTTTATTTATTTATATAAATATATCGCTCTTATTTCAAATATAATCCCTTAGTATTAAGAACATCATATTACAACATTTTAATTACTTTTATTATTTTTAATTAAATTTTTCGTTTTTTTCTAAATTTTGTGTATTTACTATCTATCTCCAAGAATATTTGCAACAAATTAAAATTTTAGATTTAAACTCTTACACTTATCAGAAAATCAAAAACTCAATCCTTCTTTTCCATAATCAAAACCAACTATAAGAAAATTCTCAAATTTTATTTAATTATTGTAACCATTATTATTTAATAACTCTTAAATCTTCAAAATGGCTATTATTGTAATCAAATTTTAATTTTTAAATAACTAGATTAATAGTTTTGGTGTTATCACATATTTTAATTTAAATTATTTAAGATTTGAATTTTTTTCTTACAATATCCACAAAAAACTATTTACAATAATACTACTATATTGTGCTAATCTTTTATTAGATTTATTTTTACTTATATTTTAGAAGCTAATAGTGGTTTATATTTATTTAACACAAGAAATATGATTTAAATGTTGGAAAATTTTCTTTATTTTTTATGAATAATAGAAGTAAACTAAAATTTATAACTCTTATCTAAAATACGATAATAATGTTTAGTGTGCTTGAAAAATGTTTTCATTAAAGACACCATAACACTAATTGATGAATAATTAATTTCCTTTCGAAAAAATCTTTTACAAACCTAATATAATATTTTTTTTGAAATTAGATTTTTCAAAGCCCATAATTATGCTTTGATTTTTATAATTTTAAATAATTATGGTATAAAAAGTTATCCAATTTTTAGCAAAAAATACAATTTTCTTGAAATAAATTAATTTGACAATGAAACTATTGAGTTTTGAAAAAAACAATTAAGGCTCACAAACAAATTCATAGGAGAAGTTAACTACATGCCCTGAAAAATGATATTTTTTTTAAATTAGAAATTTCTTGTTTTGTTTCATAAATTTTATATCTATATAGATATTAATTATAAAAAAAATAATTTTTGAGGAAAATATATTTTAAAAAGAAAACTTTTTAATTATTAAAATATATTTTAATTGAGTCAATAAAATATTTTTATTTTATTGACTTAATTCTTTTGAAATACATTACAACCCTATTTTTTATGTATTTAATTTATAGTAAAGATATTTTATTTTGTATACATCTATATAGATTGGGTGTTTACAATTTTTTAATAATTTTATTTCATATTGAATAAATTACTTTCATGCTTAAGATAAAAGCATTAATTTTGATCAGCTTACTTAAGTATGTATAATAATCATAATAGTAATATTCTTCCATAAAGTACTTAATGCATGTACAATGAATGGTTTATATAGGATTAAGAGAATTTAATTAAAATTGATTAGAATTGGAATTTTTAAGATGAGAATTAATATGTGTCATTTGGTTAGGGATTTTGGTTTCAATATCTTCCATACTAAAAGGACTATTTAATATGTATAATAGATTTGTAAAATTACTAGAAATAACTGATGAATAATTAAACTTAGACATTATTAATTACTTTCTGTATTCATTAAAAAGAACTTCAGATGATTCATTACTTCTATTAAATTTTATTTAACTAAATAAGATTGAAAAGACTATTAATTTTATAATTTTTATATACTCACAGTCATTCGTAATAAAAAAAACTCTTCCTATTGATATTTTTAATTTTGAAGGAGTTTGGATTTTCTTTTATTTTTATAATCATGATCAAGACAATCAACTCTCTTTATATTATTATCAATCTAATATTGATTCACTTTATAAAGAAACTGTTGATTCAGTCATTCAAATCCAAAATTCAGAATCTATTTCAAGTTAAATTAGATCTTTTTTAAATATATAAATCTCTGGATAAAACATTATTACTTATCCTTTTTTAGGAATTATTAAAAGAGTTGAAAATACTTCTAATAATATCTTATTAGATTTAAATTAATTTAAATAAATGTGTTTAGTATAAAATAATTGTTTAGAATTGGATCATAAATTTATTTTTGATATTTCATAACTAACTGAAACTTACTTTTTTACATAAATTTCGTTTATGTTCACAGAACTTAATACATTTAAGTTTTTTGGTTGGGTTAAATAAGATTTATTAGATGTTTAGGATAAATTTGATAGTTTACTACTGCGAATAACAATAAATGAGTAAAATTTTAATGATTATCAAATTGGTGATAAATTTCTATATGTTATGTATCATTAAAATAAAATTCTAAGATTGAATGGATTTACAGCTTAAACTTATAGTTATTCTTTTCCTTATACAACAACTCATTAAACAACAGAAGATGAAACTTTTACTATATTTGATAGTTCTTTAAGTGATTAATTAACTAAATGGCATTTTATTTAGTATGAAGAAGGATCTTCTATTAATGAAGGAAAACCTATTTATCGAGTATATTTTCCAAAAAATGATTAATTAATTGAATGTAGATGGAATAATAAAGTTCATCACTTTTCAAATGTTAATTTATATTTTTATTTTGGAGGAGATGATTATTTTACTAATAGCTTTAAAGGATCTTTAAACAATTGGTAAATTATTTCTTATTGTGAAAAATATTTTGAATCTAAATTGGAAATAAGTTGTTTTTATACATGTTAAACTTGTACAGGGTTATCTGAATATGATTGTTTAAGCTGCTCTTTAGAATCTAATAGAATATTTTCTTCAAGTGAAAACACTTGTTCTTGTCAAGTTGGTTATATAGATATTTATGGAGTTGCATCATGTCTCAGTATATAATAATACAATAATAGCATTAAATTAAATTAATGGAGCCTTAGTATTACAAGTCAAAGAAATAATTTGTGAAAATACAGGATTTTATTATTGTGATGAGTTTTAGTTGATTTGCGAATTCGGCTACTTTCCTCACCATAATTAATGCTTAAAATGGTATTGATTTCCTTATTTTAGTCCTTAATTTTAAAATGATATATATTCAAACTAATTATTTTGTGGAGAATGCTATCTTGATCCAAATAATTTTCATCTTGAATTTAAATGCTCTTTTGATTTTATATCAAAATATGATGAATCACCATTTTATTAAATTTGGAGAGATGTTTCTCAAATATAAATGTAATCAAATAAATCTTATGTAGATATAAAATTAACGATGTTAACCAAAATGATTATTCATTAGAAATTATTGAAGGATATTTAGGATCTGGTTATTGTAAGTATGGATATTTAATGAATTCTCAAGGAATTTGTTAAATGTGTATTTAGGGATGTTTTAATTGTATAAGAATTGATTATTGTTCTTCTTGTCTTAATGGTTATTTTAAGACAAATGAAGGAACTTGTAAAAAATGTCAAATTTGTTAAGATTGTGAATTTGAAAATGGAGTTGAACACTGTTTAAACTTTTCTTAGTGTCTTTCAAGTTAGTATAGAAAAAGGGATAAATGTGAAGATTGTGGATAATATTGCAAATAATGTGATTCAAAATAATGTTTTTATTGTATTGATAATGAGAAATACTATTTAAGCTTAGATGGATTTAATTGTGGTTTTTGTTCAATTATAAATTGTTAATATTGCTTTGAATATAGTTATTAAGATTATACTAATCTAATTATTTCAATAGATAAAAATATAAATGGAGAATAAATTTATATTGATATGTATAATATTCATTTAGGATGTGCTCAATGTTACAATGGATATTATTATTCTTTTGAAACCAATAAATGTGAATTATTAAATGATGATATGCAATTGTGTCAAGTTGGAGTAACTTCACCTTCAAGTCAAAGTATCACTTGTTTAAAAAGTAAATCTTTAACTAATTCTATTTAAACTACTAATTGTGAAGATTCTGTATTATGTTTAGAATGCATCAATAATTATAATTTTGCAATAAATTCATTCTGTATTGTATGTGAAGAAGGATATTATTCAAATATTATAACTGGATTATGTAAGTAATGTCCTTCTTCATGTAAAACATGTGCTTAATAAAATATTGGAATGAATAACTATTGGAAATAATAAATTAAAGCATTTTATTTGAATTTTGTTAATTAAAATAATTAACATCCATTTGAAATTTATGCAGTTGATTCTGATCTTGATTTATTAGAAATAATTTGCTTGAGTTGTAAGAACAATGAAATATTATATAACAATAAATGCGTTTAAGGCTGTTCTGAGAATTGTTAAGATTGTAGAATTGTAGAATATGATAGTAATATTTATAGAAGTCATTGTTACAAATGCAAATCAAATTTATTTAATAGAGTAAGAAGTTTTCGATTTGAATAAATAAATTAATTATATGAACAATGCGAAACTTGTCCAAAATATTGTCAGGCTTGTTATTTAAGACAAATTGAAGAAATAACCTCAATAAATAAGTTTTTTGATCAAACTTCTGATTATTTAAAATATACTTTTAAATGTTATCGAATTCAAGATAAAGGAACTAGCAATATTTACATTCACCCTAACATTTTAGCAATACAATCTTGTATAAAATTCTAGAAATGTTCAAAATCTATTGATGCCATCTTTAAAGTATTCAGAACTCGATATGATTTGGATGACATTATAAAATTTGAAACCAATCAAACTATGATTGATAGATATACCGATTTTGATAGTATTATGACATTAGATGATTGGAGTAGATTTGAAGAATCTTAATTTTTAGAATACTACAATTAAGAATTAATAGAAGAAATTAATATTAATTATTATCTCTAAAATTTAAAAAACTCTGAATATTGGTAATTAGGGTAAAGTGGAGGTATGAGTAACAGACTAAAGGAAAGAGTATTTTTATTAAAATATGTAAATCTCAAATTAATAGGTGAAGATACAAAAATCGCTTATAAATGCGAAGATTAATTAACCTTTTTTAATTTTGATAATATAGTTTTTGAGGATATAAATTTTTATGCCCCTATACCCATTAAATACGAATAGACGGATAATATTATTTTTAGATTGTGTTTTGAAAATGAACATTATCCTATGTCAGTGAAATTTAAAAATGTTAATTTCTTTCAATATCAATTCAATTGTAACTTAGAATTCTATATAATTTGTAATCGACCAAAAAGTATTCAATTTATTAANAATTCTATTTAAACTACTAATTGTGAAGATTCTCTATTATGTTAAGAATGCATCAATAACTATAATTTTGCGATAAATTCACTCTGTATTGTATGTTAAGAAGGATACTATTCAAATATTATTACTGGATTATGTAAATAATGTCCTTCTTCATGTAAAACATGTGCTTAATAAAATATTGGAAAAAATGACTATTGGAAATAGTAAATAAAAGCATTTTATTTACATTTTGTTAATTAAAATGGTTAACATCCATTTGAAAATTATGCAGTTAATTTTGATCTTGATTTTTAAGAAATAATTTGTTTAAGTTGTAAGAACAACGAAATATTATATAACTAAGAATGCGTTTAAGGTTGTTCTGAGAATTGTTAAGATTGTAGAATCGTGGATTATGGTAGGTCTATTTATAGAAGTCATTGTTACAAATGCTAATCAAATTTATTTAACAGTGTAAGAAGTTTTAAATTTGAATATATAAATTAATTATATAATCAATGTGAAACTTGTCCAAAATATTGTTAGGCTTGTTATTTTAGACATATTGAAGAAATTGCCTCAATAAATAAGTTTTTTGATAACACTTCTGATTATCGAAAATATACTTTTAAATGTTATCGAATTCAAAATAAAGGAACTAGCAATATTTACATTCACCCTAACATTTTAGCAATTCAATCTTGTCAAAATTTATAGAAGTGTTCCAAAGCTATTGATGTCATTTTTAAAGTATTTAGAACTAGAAAAAATTTAAATGATGCAAGAAAGTTGGAAACCAATCAAACTTTGCTTGATAGATATGTAGATTTTTAAACTATTATGACAATAGACGATTGGAGTAGATTTGAAGAATCTTAATTTTTAGAATATTGTAATTAAGAATTAATAGAAGAAATTAATATTAACTATTATCTCTAAAATACAAAAAACTCTGAATATTGGTAATTAGGGTAAAGTGGAGGTTTGAGTAACAGATTAAAGGAAAGAGTATTTTTATTAAAATATGTAAATCTCAAATTAATAGGTGAAGATACAAAAATCCCTTTTAAATGCGAAGATTAATTAACCTTTTTTAATTTTGATAAAATAGTTTTTGAGGATATAAATTTTTATGCCCCTATACCCATTAAATAAGAATAGGAAAATAACATTACTTTTAAATTGTATTTTGAAAATGATCATTATCCTATGTCAGTGAAATTAAAAAATGTAAATTTCTTTCAATATCCTTTCAATTATAACTTAGAATTCTATATAATTTGTAATCGACCAAAAAGTATTCAATTTATAAATGTTGAACTAACTTTAAACATTAGTAATTCTCTATTCTTAAATTATGAACCTTTTTCAGACTTTGAAGATTCAACTTTCTATGTTGAAAACCTTACAATTTAGAATAATTTATTTAGTAATGTTACAGTTTTTAAATATTATGCAAAACATAATTCACTTAATTGCACTATTACATTTAAATAAGTAACAATTCAGAATACCTTTTTTTCAAATAATTCTAGTTTTATTAATTCAAATTATGATCAAAACTATGACATTGGGATTGTATAGCTTGAGGACTTTTTATTGAAAGATGTGACATTTTAAAATTCTTCAACTTTTTTAATACTTCTATCATCCTAGAGATTAAGTTTAAAAAATTTTACTCTTTTTAATGTAAGATTTTTAGACTCATCATCATTTTTAATAGCCAACACTTTTGAAATTTATTAATTAAAATTACAACATAGTATTATTTAAAAGGGATACATTATAACTAACAAAGGAAAATTTAGTGAGTCATTATAAGTTAGATATCATTCTGAATTTTTATCAATAGAAGACATAAACTTTTCAAATAATTAGTATTTTAAAGAAAACTAATTCATTTATATAGTATAAGATTAAGTTTAAAATATAAGTTTGAGTATTAAAAAGTTTGAATTTAATCAAAACTATTTTCATAATATTTAGATTGGTAAACTTGCTTATAATTTTGCTACAAGTTAGATTTCTTAAATGTACATAGAATGTACTTATTGTTATCTTAGTGATCTGAAAATTATAAGAGGATTAGGTTATCCTGAATTAACAATTATGAACTCTAAGTATATTTCAATTGTTAATTTAAATATAATAATTAACCCTTCTTTAAAATTAAAATTGATTCATACTTCTATTAATTGTGTTAAATAATTTTATAGTCTTGATTTACCTTATATTATTTTTATTCAATCTTTTAATTAGGTAATTTTAGATTCAATAAATATTTTGAATAATGTAATTATTGATTACCCTTTTATATAAATAATTGGTGAACGCTTTAGTGATTAAAATGAATTTGACAAGATATATGTTTAAAATTCCATTTTTGAAAATAATAATTTAATTATCACTTAATTCAATAGAATTTCATCAATAATTTCAATTTAAGCTTCCCTCAATACTTAAATTGAGGTAAGAAATGTAACATTTAAAGACAATTTGATAAATAAATTTGAAGATGATCCATAGTTACATTCATCATCTACTATGTTTATAGATTTATAAGTTGGTTAAGTTATTTTTGAAAATGTAAGGTTTTTATCAAATATGGTTTTAAATTCATCAGATTCAAACTTATTTATAAAAACAGATAATCTAACATTAATTAAATGTTAATTTATAGATTAAAATAGACCTAATTTCAGGTTGGTTTAGTAATATATCCTTTTTGATAAATTTTAAATTGATCAAGAAAAAATAATGTCAAATATTTTAGTAACTTTTAGCATAGGAGGAAGTGGATTATTTTATATAAATAAATTAATAATCTCAGAAATAAATGTTATTAATTCTTTGGCAGTCAATGGTGGAGCATTTTATATTGTAATTAAATCAGTAGGTATCCTCTAAATTTAGAATTCAACTTTTGAAAATACATCAACATTACTAGATGGTAATTAATTTTCATCTGGAGGCACATTATACATAGATGCATCAAAGAGCAGACTAATTCTATAGATTTCTGATTCAATCATATAAAGGGCATATTCTCGAACTTAAGGTGGTGCTATCTATATAGAAGCATCAAGAACATTTAATGAAATAAACTTTAATAATCTCTCTATTCAAAATGCTTTCTCTTTATAACATGCAATATTATCTTATTACCCATACAAATTATCTTCATTAAGTTCTAATATACTTATAAATAACTCTTTTTTTTAAAGTAACGAATTAGAGTTCAATAATTATTTATCAAAAATTTCAGACATTTCTATTTAAGATGNAATAGAAGACATAAACTTTTCAAATAATTAGTATTTTAAAGAAAACTAATTCATTTATATAGTATAAGATTAAGTTTAAAATATAAGTTTGAGTATTAAAAAGTTTGAATTTAATCAAAACTATTTTCATAATATTTAGATTGGTAAACTTGCTTATAATTTTGCTACAAGTTAGATTTCTTAAATGTACATAGAATGTACTTATTGTTATCTTAGTGATCTGAAAATTATAAGAGGATTAGGTTATCCTGAATTAACAATTATGAACTCTAAGTATATTTCAATTGTTAATTTAAATATAATAATTAACCCTTCTTTAAAATTAAAATTGATTCATACTTCTATTAATTGTGTTAAATAATTTTATAGTCTTGATTTACCTTATATTATTTTTATTCAATCTTTTAATTAGGTAATTTTAGATTCAATAAATATTTTGAATAATGTAATTATTGATTACCCTTTTATATAAATAATTGGTGAACGCTTTAGTGATTAAAATGAATTTGACAAGATATATGTTTAAAATTCCATTTTTGAAAATAATAATTTAATTATCACTTAATTCAATAGAATTTCATCAATAATTTCAATTTAAGCTTCCCTCAATACTTAAATTGAGGTAAGAAATGTAACATTTAAAGACAATTTGATAAATAAATTTGAAGATGATCCATAGTTACATTCATCATCTACTATGTTTATAGATTTATAAGTTGGTTAAGTTATTTTTGAAAATGTAAGGTTTTTATCAAATATGGTTTTAAATTCATCAGATTCAAACTTATTTATAAAAACAGATAATCTAACATTAATTAAATGTTAATTTATAGATTAAAATAGACCTAATTTCAGGTTGGTTTAGTAATATATCCTTTTTGATAAATTTTAAATTGATCAAGAAAAAATAATGTCAAATATTTTAGTAACTTTTAGCATAGGAGGAAGTGGATTATTTTATATAAATAAATTAATAATCTCAGAAATAAATGTTATTAATTCTTTGGCAGTCAATGGTGGAGCATTTTATATTGTAATTAAATCAGTAGGTATCCTCTAAATTTAGAATTCAACTTTTGAAAATACATCAACATTACTAGATGGTAATTAATTTTCATCTGGAGGCACATTATACATAGATGCATCAAAGAGCAGACTAATTCTATAGATTTCTGATTCAATCATATAAAGGGCATATTCTCGAACTTAAGGTGGTGCTATCTATATAGAAGCATCAAGAACATTTAATGAAATAAACTTTAATAATCTCTCTATTCAAAATGCTTTCTCTTTATAACATGCAATATTATCTTATTACCCATACAAATTATCTTCATTAAGTTCTAATATACTTATAAATAACTCTTTTTTTTAAAGTAACGAATTAGAGTTCAATAATTATTTATCAAAAATTTCAGACATTTCTATTTAAGATGTTTAACCATTTTAAAGTAATAATCCCTCAATTTATGCATAATTTAGTAATTTTAGCATGCTCAACACTAAATTTTATTCTATTCATCTTTCTTTTTTAATCCAGATTTAAAATGGAATAAATGTTAATCTAATCAATATACATATCTCAAACACTACAATATTTAAATCACCAATTTTTAGAATTATTTTAAGGGAAGGTATATTATATAATAATTTTTAGATATAACTGCTTAATTAATTGTTCAGAATTTATATGTAAATTCTGTCTAATAATTTCAATTTGATTAAAACTTGAACTGTACTTCAGGAAAAATTTAAGAATAAAATAAATTATTATGTCCAATTAATGCCTCTACAATTATTTTAAGTCCTACAGTAAATATTCAAGAAAACAATACTACAAATTAATTAAATTGTAATAAAAATTTAATTTATTTTTAATCTTAAAATAACATGAGTCTTTTTGAATTAAAAAAATTATCTAAATCTCATCATATTATTTTTGATGATATTTAATTTACTTAATGTAACTGTCCAGGCTGTTATTTTGGACTAATTTCAATCTAAGATTTTAGTTTTACTTAATTAAGTCTGAAAATCAACTCTATGAATTTGTAGAATAATATTTGTGGTACTTTAGGATGTTTATCTATATTAAGAACTATAGAAAACAATTCATTAAGTTCCTTAGAACCAAACAGAATTTTAACTTAATAAGATTTAAGTCGGCTAGAATTTATGGAGATATATCAATTTCAGGTGAAAATTTAAAATAGCATATTTTAAAAAAATACTGCATATTATGGTGGTGCATGCTATTTTTCAAGTGTAAATATACTACTTGATAGTTGCAAAATATAATTTAATACTGCTTATAAATATGGTGGAGGCATTTTTGTATTTGCTAATAATACACGTATTACTATTATAAATAGCGAGATTATAAATAATTAAGCAACAATTGCTGGAGGCCTTTATTTAAAAAATGATCAATTATAAAATCCATAAAAACTTAATTTAATTTTGAAAGCAAACACTGCTAATATAAGTGAAAACTCTTATGAAACTCCTAGTCTGTTAAAGACCTAAATAAGATCTTAAATTATTGAAAATAGCACCAATTTATTTAGAAATTAGACAACAATAATCGATTAAGTTTAGATAACTCCTTATTAAACTTTACAAGATTCATAGTATACATCTTAGCTCTATTTTCCTACAGGTATTAGTATATCTAAATATAAATATTTTAACACCTCAAAAAATGAATATTAAAACTACAATTTATCATTTAAAATTTTGGCTTTTAATTCTTTAGGGGAATAAATGAAAAATTTGAATGGTTCTGTGTGTTCTATTTATGCTTAAGAAATCTCAACTAAATCTGAAAATTATTTTAGGGAAATTTAATTAGATTTTGATATATCGTAAAAATATTTATCAAAGACAATGATTTAATTTAATGAAACAAGTCAAGATTATAATTTAAATGATCTAATTATATATTTTAATCCTTTGAAAGATTAAGATTTATAATTACTCCTAATTATTTAATGTGATTCAATTTAAGTACCTTAATATAATCAAGAATTTCCATTTGAAAAAACACATGTTATCACAGATTATTTTCTTCTATTAAAATTAAAAACTTTCAAATGTTAATTAGGAGAATATTTGAATTCGACATCTGGAGGTTGTGTAGAATGTGATATTACATAAAATTAATATTCTGTCACAATTGATGCTATAAAATGTTAATTTAAAAATGATATTTATATGAAAAGCTTGCAACCAGCAAAAATAGAACTAAGAGAAGGATTCTGGAGAGCCTATTACTACAGTAATAAAATAGAAGAATGCTATCATTTGAAACTAAATTGTTTTGGAGGATGGTAAACAGGGGATAAATCTTGCGCTTTAGGCCATATAGGAGCAATCTGTGAATAATGCGATCTTTATGACACTCTAGGAAATGGATCATTTTCTTAGGGTTAATCATATACTTGTTCTAGCTGTAAAGATATGGCTGGCAATATTGTGAATATAGCTTTTGCTTTAATTTGGACTATTTTATCTGTGTTTTTATCTGTTAATAGTACCATAACAATGATTGAAGAATTTATATTATATACTAAATTGAGAACTATAGATAGGTATTTAGTTTTTAAATCTTCATCTACATCTGTGTTAATTAAGGTATTTACTAATTATCTCCAAATCATAGGTTCTATTTCAACATTTCAATTATTTATACCTATTGGAATAGTGCTTACTTTTAAATCAGTTGGAAATCCAATAGAAACTATGTCATTTTCTCTAGATTGTTATTTGTCTCAAATTACAACAATTCCTATACATTATTTTAGAATTTTATGGGGCTTTTTTATGATTGCATGCTATATTTTTCTTTTTATTGGAATGCACTTACTTATACTATTCTATAAGAAAAAATAATTCAGTATAACTTTCATAACAACAACACTCATTTATATCTACATATATTTATCACCTAATTTGATTAGTGGTTTGGTTGCTTTACTATCTTATAGAACTATATCTGATTTAAAATGGATTACTGGTAACGTTGCTTATTAATATGATACAACAGTACATTATATTTGGTTATCCACTTTTGCTATTCCAGCTTTTATCATTATTGGTATCCTATTGCCTGTTTTCTTTTGGTTCATAGTTTATTATCATAGAAATAGATTGAATTAAGCCACAGTCAGAAAATTATGGGGCTATTTATATAATGAATATAAATTAAATACTTACTTTTGGGAAACAATAAAAATATTGCAAAAAGAATTTATAATTTATGTCTTAATTTATTATGAAGATTATGTTGCAATCAAAGCTTCTTTAATTTTATTAGTTTTACTTATATATGGAAAATTAACAAATTAATACAAACCTTACTAAACAGGTGATTTAAATTAGATTGATGCACTTTAAACATTAATCTGTAACACATCAATAATTTTGGCTTAAACTATATATACAGCATAAAGCTTAGAAGTTTAAGAAATTGTTATTCCTTCTTACACCATTTTGGCAATATTAAATTTCTATTTTTTTGTTAAAGTGATAATCAAAATAGTTTTTGCTTATTTCAATAAATTAGAAGACTAAATTGATGAAATCAAAGTCTATTTGGAGCACAAATTTCCAAAGCTTTTCAATTAAAACTAATTTTGCTTAAGATATTTAAAAAGTAATAAAAATAGAAGATAAATCATTAGACAAAGATTTATGTTGATAAAAAATTACTTAATAAAATAAGCAAGATAATTCATTCAATATAGGTAATATTTTTAATTTCTAATTTAGAGTCTATACTGAAGAAAATGAAGCTCCAAATCTTTCAAATGAGAAAGTTAGAATTAAAACTGATTTCAAGATTGGATCTATTGAAAAACAAACATCAATTTTTAGAACAAATACATAAAAAAAACTATTAATGAGTTGATATATAACATTTATAAAAAATTTATTATAATGTATTGGTTTATGATTAAAATTATATAATATCAAACTATTTTATTCTATTCTATATTTTTAAAAGTTATAATTTATTTCTATATTTATTCCACAGATCTCAAGATTGAGTTATATATTGTTTTAAATAATTTAACTTAATGAATAAATGTTCTAATAATTTTTAAACAAATAAATCAATTTTTAATTTTGGATTAAACAAATCAAACCTAAATTTATAAAATAAATAAAAATATTTTAACAAATTTTCAATTTAAATGTTATCAAAAAAGAACCTAAAGAAAAATTTCTAGACTTCGTTTTTATTTTTTTTGTGAAAATAAAAATTAAATAGCAGTAAATTTAATATTATTTATTTTAAACTATTCTTGTATTTAATCAAGTGTTTTGTTTAAAATTTAAAAATTTTAAGAAAATGATAAAACAATTACAAATCAGAATTTATTATTGTATATTAAATTTGCGATGAACTTTTTTTTAAGAAAAAGATGAAAATTTTTGTATTAGTTTTTGAAAACAAATTAAATTTTGTTTAATACTTGATAAAAAAATAGCTTAAATTTACATATTCTGTAAAAGCCTTAATAGAATCTAAATTTTTTAGAAAATTCTCCTATAGCAGAATATCAAAGAAAGTTGTTAATAAAATAGTAAAAGTTATTCAATCTTCAGAATCCAGTAAAAAGTAAATAAAATTGAAGTTGGAAATGTATGTTAAAGGATAATGTTCTAATTAAATATGTATAAAATCATATTTAAATTCTTTTAGTAAAAGATCAAAAAACTAATTAAAGGGATCTTAGCATTAATTTAATTCTTAATGCAAAAAGAAAAAAAATCTGACCAATCATAATATTGAAACAACCAGAGAAGATTAATTTCAAATTAGCCTCTAAAAAGAANTCCAAATCTTTCAAATGAGAAAGTTAGAATTAAAACTGATTTCAAGATTGGATCTATTGAAAAACAAACATCAATTTTTAGAACAAATACATAAAAAAAACTATTAATGAGTTGATATATAACATTTATAAAAAATTTATTATAATGTATTGGTTTATGATTAAAATTATATAATATCAAACTATTTTATTCTATTCTATATTTTTAAAAGTTATAATTTATTTCTATATTTATTCCACAGATCTCAAGATTGAGTTATATATTGTTTTAAATAATTTAACTTAATGAATAAATGTTCTAATAATTTTTAAACAAATAAATCAATTTTTAATTTTGGATTAAACAAATCAAACCTAAATTTATAAAATAAATAAAAATATTTTAACAAATTTTCAATTTAAATGTTATCAAAAAAGAACCTAAAGAAAAATTTCTAGACTTCGTTTTTATTTTTTTTGTGAAAATAAAAATTAAATAGCAGTAAATTTAATATTATTTATTTTAAACTATTCTTGTATTTAATCAAGTGTTTTGTTTAAAATTTAAAAATTTTAAGAAAATGATAAAACAATTACAAATCAGAATTTATTATTGTATATTAAATTTGCGATGAACTTTTTTTTAAGAAAAAGATGAAAATTTTTGTATTAGTTTTTGAAAACAAATTAAATTTTGTTTAATACTTGATAAAAAAATAGCTTAAATTTACATATTCTGTAAAAGCCTTAATAGAATCTAAATTTTTTAGAAAATTCTCCTATAGCAGAATATCAAAGAAAGTTGTTAATAAAATAGTAAAAGTTATTCAATCTTCAGAATCCAGTAAAAAGTAAATAAAATTGAAGTTGGAAATGTATGTTAAAGGATAATGTTCTAATTAAATATGTATAAAATCATATTTAAATTCTTTTAGTAAAAGATCAAAAAACTAATTAAAGGGATCTTAGCATTAATTTAATTCTTAATGCAAAAAGAAAAAAAATCTGACCAATCATAATATTGAAACAACCAGAGAAGATTAATTTCAAATTAGCCTCTAAAAAGAAGATACAGCAACATTATATTTGGTTATTAAAATAGATAGTAGATTCTATTTTCTTACGAAATATATATCAAAAAATAAAAAAATATTTGCCTTTGATGATATTAAATTTTCTCATTTAAAAAAAATTGATTTATTTTTTTATAAAACTTTTTTATATGATTTAAAATCTATTTAAATTGATGATAATCTTAATTTTTTAATTGAACATTTTATAATCTATATATTTTAACATTATAAATAAAAGAGAAAGCAATATTTATTATAATTAATAACCCATTATTTTATTTGTGAAAAAAATATAATAAGTTTGATAAAATGATGTTATTTAAATCTTTTGTATTTGTTTTTAAATAATAAAAAATGTATATAAGTTCGGTTTGGAAATAAATAAAAAAGATTTTAATAAGAAATATATATTGAAGTTGAACTGATTTAATAATTACAAAAATTATCTTTTATTATAGAAAAGTTATGATGTTTAATTTATTAGTCATTAATAGTATTTGCAAGAATAAAATTTTAGAAATTGTGAAAGATGACTTCGGAATAATAAAAAAGTGTGATTAATGATTCTACTAGAAATCAACACGAAAGCGTTTTAGATGTTCTGAAATAAATGAGAAGAAATAAAATGATAATACTTTAAAAAAGATTATTTTTCATTTTAATAATGGAAATACTTGGAATGAGTGGTAAAAATTAATTTAAATAAGATTAATATAGTATAAATATTAGCATTATCATTAAAAAATTGGTATTAGTTTTAGTTTGAAGAAGATGAATAAATATGGATTTAACTAATTTATATTGAATAATATATAGGATATTAAGAATTTTGTTAAGAAATGAATGTCACTAATAATTTGTTATGTAGTGATTTAAGACAAGTTGGATTTATATGTTTTTGTTTTATAGTGTTTGCAATATTTGTTCAAGTAAGAATTTTGAATATAAAGTTTTTAGAAGTTCTTCGTTTAATGATTTATTTAAAGAAAGGGAATCCATGTGTGTTATGTAAATTAAAAGGCAAACTACTTCAAGTAATATTTATTTTATTACTTGTATGTGGATATGTTGGATATTTTTTTACAATCCTGCTTTTATTTTAATATCAGCAATGTATAAGATTTGATTTAGCCATATTTAGAAGTAAAATATTTTGGATTTTGTTTTTGGATGGGTTCTGGATCAATTTTAATATTGATTTTAACTTCATTGTATTATAGAAAAACAAAAGGATCACTTAATAGAAATAATTCAGTTCAAAAATATTTGCTTTTTGATAATTGTAAGGTTGAGTGTTCTAGCATCACTGAATGAATTTAGTTTATAAATAATTTGTAATGAGTATTTAACTCTTTGTTAGAAGTAGTTTTATTTTTAATTTTATTAAATTTATATGCAAAAAAAAAATAATTAATTAATACTATCCCCTAGTGGCTTGGGAAGTAATATAAAGCCTGGATTGTTTTCTAAGCATTGCGAATTAAATAAATTAAATAAATAAAAAAGTTTTAAAATTGAGGAGACTCTAACCCCAAAACTATTTGAAACAAAAGAATCAAGTTTTGCACCTTAACCAAAATTATAAAAAAGTCAAAGGTACTGATTAAATATACTCAATAATAGTGCTTCTCGATTACTTATTTCTAAAGAATAAAGATAAGAATAAGTTGAGAGACTATAGATACAAAAAATATCATCAATCAAACAAGATTAGATTACTGAACTATCATAAAAATTATATAGAGAGCTAATAGAATTTAATGAATAGGCAGATTTTGGAGGTTAAAATGAAATATAAATGTGGAGTGAAGAAATGATTAAAAAATTACTCATTATTAAAACTAGTTTGGAATGTAAATATATCAATAAAATATTAGAATCTGAACTCTTAGAAAATCAAGATAATGTTAGCGAAAATTAATAGTATCTATTTTTATATTTTAAGAAATGATATAATATTGAATTTATAGAAGGAGTTAAATGATGAAAGGAAGGAAAGATACAAAATTGAAGAAGAAGCAACAAATTTAATTACTGAATAAGAGTTAGAAATTGATAGATTAGAAAAACAGTTAAAAATGCTAGAAGAAAAACATTCTTCATGATAATTTAAATTAATTACGTTAATTATATATATATAATATGAATATATTTATCAGCAGAAAAACATCATAGTAGCAGAGCACATTTATTAAGATTAAATCTATTTCTATCTTTTTAAGCATATTAGAAGAAATCTTAGTTTCATTTTTATCTTAACTTAATTAATTTATTTTGCATGATAATTCATCAAAATTTTCTTACCCTCTATAAGTTTTCTGATTATTATAAATCTAAAAACTAATAGTGTATGGTAAAATATAAAAGTTATTAATAAATTGAGTAGACAACTATTCAATATCTTCAATTATTTTTACTATTAAATTTAACTATTTATATTTGAGATAAATATAAATACCTATTTATTCAATCAAAGTTGAAACTTTTTAAGAATATTTTTTTATATTATTTGTTTAACCTAAATGATAAAACTAGACAAAGAATCTTCTGAATAAATAATAAAATATGATTTATGAAATAACGAGTTTAATTTCTGAAAAAATAAAAATTATCTTTATTCAGATATAAACAAATTCTTACAAATTGATCATCTTTATTTAAAAAACTAATCATAAAGGCAATTTAAATACTAATATTTATTATAAATGTTAATTGAAATTAAACGACTTTTGAAAAAAATCTTATTCCTTCCGTGTAAAATTTAAGTATTTGGATTTAAATTTTTATTATAAATACTTATAATCTTTTTTGAATATAATAAATAATTTAATCATTCTTCTTCCTTAAATTTTTTGATATCATTCTAGTCTATTCCTGGTGGTAATTCTTCATCTCTATTTATTTTAAAAACTTTTTTAGGACTTGGATCAACTTTATTATTAAATTGTTTTAATTCTTCTTCGTTTTCTTATCTCCTCTCAATTTGATTGTTCTAATCTTCTTATTCTTTTTAATTCGAATCTGATTATTATTATTACTATTATTATTAAATTAATTGTTTTTATTCGATATATTCACTATTTGTGTTTTTAATTTTTTCAATCTCTTCTATATCTATTTAAAATGATTTAGATAAGTCTAATCCTTCAGGTGGCTTTATAAATTTTTAAGCCTTTTATAATATCAAAGTAAATAAATACTTCTAAATTAATTGGTGGTAAATCTTCTTCATATAAATTTTACAATTCTTATAGTTAATCTTTTGATTTATTTTGAATTAAAGACTCATAAAAAAATGAAATTTTGACAATTGAAATATTATGTAACTTATTGTAAATATTTTTAATAAGTTATTCAATTTAAGGAATAATTTCATTTTAAGGATCAGTTTTGATAATTTAGATATATATTTTGAATAATAATGAATCTATATCAGACAATGACGATTCATAACAATTCAAAATATTCAATTATTCCAAAAATTAAATTATATTAGTTAATGCTTCTAATTTTAATAATTTAACTGATTCACCAACTATCATAATTAAAGATTTAAAAATAATTTCTCTATGATTTAAAGAGTATTTTAATTAAGTGTGTCTCTAAACGATATTCAAAGTTGGTCCTTACAATGAATCAGATTATGTAGCATATGTTTACAGTATTTAATTACATAGTTAATCTGAATATACTTTTAATCCAGGAACTCTGGTTAATAATTCAAATAACATTTCTTTAAATCTAATAGCATTATCTATCGTATCTATTTTCTGCGCTATTACTGGAATATAAATAAGTAATAATTTCTCAGGATCATCTACATTTATAAATTTATCTTTTGTTATTATAAATACTAAAATATCAATATATTATTTACTCAATGATTCAATAATTTTATGATTGCTTTCCAAATCTGAATGTTTCAAAAAGAATTCAATCACTGTTTAAAAGTTTTGCTAATTTGTAAAATCTTTGAACAACTGTAAAATTTACAATTTTGAAAAATAATCACTTTTTTTAAAACTTTCTAAAATTTATTCTTAAAACTCCATTAAACCAGCAGATGTTGATATATGTGTCAAACATTCTAATCCTAAACATCTCACTAAATAATGATAATTTAAAATTACAATTAGGATCTTAATGATTTAAAAATTATTTTAATATATCCCCAGCACTTTCATAAAGTTAAGAATGATTTTTAAAATACTTCATAATTGAATATATTAATTCATATTATAATGATTTTGAATTAGTCTAATTTAACAATCTTGTATAATGTTCAATTAGCTTTCCTTAAAATCTAGGTTCTAAAGATATCAATTTATTTGATATTCTAACTAATTTAATTAGTAACCAATTTGATTTTTATTTAGATATTTGATCATAAACAATTGATAAAAATAAAGGATAAAGTTTTGGTGCCACTTTTAAAACTGAACAAAACAAACTAATACCACAGGCTAATACTGAGATATTTGTCTCTTTCTGTAATTATTATATGACCATCTCTAAATTTCCAGAAATATTCATGGGATTTATTGTGAAAATTTTAGATAAAACTGCTATTGCCTTTTTTCTTATTAATGGTTTTGTATTAGTAGTAAGTTTTAAAACATGTGTTAACAAATTATCTGATAAATCTTTATTTGCAATAGTGCCTAAACAACTCAAAGTAGTAGAGCATTCTACATGACCACATTTAAATTCTTTTATAAAAACATTAGTAACCATAATTAAACCTTAACTTTGATTATCAATTACTAAATGTGCTGCTAATTAAGCACCCAATTTTAATTAAAAATCTCCGCTTCCCATTAAATTTATTATTTGAAATTCTGCCCATCTTATGTTATTTCCCTCCATAGCTAACTAATTAATAGAATTATTTATTTACAAAGAATAATTTTAACAAGGCTTAATATCTGACTGATTCCTATCTACTTTATATTTCATTTTTTATATCTGCTATTGTTTAGGTTGTAAATGTTAACTTATCATATTGAGAAGTAGTCCTTGATGTTCTAACAACATCTGCTAAAGATTTTAAAAATATTTAATCCATTTAAGACAAGTGGAACATTTATTATAAATAATATAAAATTATTTTAAGTAAATATTATCAACCCACATTGACAAATTAAATTTATATTCATTTTCTAAAAAGAAAAATTGTATTCCCAAAATAAAGATTGTTAAATTAAGTCTCTAGTCAAAATAGAAAGAAAAAGAAAATTTTAGAATATTGTTAAAAAAACAATAAATAAATTATAAGAGGAAGATAATAAACATAAATTTTGATTTAAATAAAAGGAGAATAAAATTTATGTAGATCATGTAATTAAAATAAGAATTTTAAGAATTTTCTCAATCAATTTTATTATAAAGGGGAAAGATTTGATGACAAATAATTTTTGCAAATTGGATAACTTTTAGAGAGGAATAATCATATGATCATTTAGAATTAATAAATATATATATTTTAAATGCCTTTGCCTTTAGTTGTATCCTAAAATGTATGATTTATTACATTTATTTTTATAAATTTTATTTGAAATAATTTATCATATATTTGTTTCTTTAAAAAAAGGTGCTTTCAGCAGTTTAAATATCAGAAATAATTATGTGGAAATTTAGAAAAATCATTTATCCAATTATTATTAATAATAGTTTCCGATTACCAACAAAATAAGCATGCTTAGAATAATTAAACAAATTAGGAATAAACTATATTGCACATAACCATGACCCAGTTCCAACAATGGATGATCTTATAAAAATTCAAGTAGCAGATGGTACAGCCTATGTTAAGAGTTTATTATATGTTGATAAGAAAGTATTAACCTAATTAATAACTTATAGTCAAATTACTATTTAATCTTAGCAAATCACACAACATAAATTGGTAAATTGTTTTGGAAAAATCTCGGATTATCATCAGGAAATATGAGATTAAGCAAGGAAGAACAAATTGCAGAAACATTAAAATCAAGCAAAGGTAATGTCAATCCTTTTGCTATAGCTAATGACTCAAATAATCTAGTATTTTACAATTAAATTAATAATAGATCAAAAATATTATTATAGATGAAGAACTAACTAAATTTTAAAGATTAGCATTACATCCTATAGAAAATACAAGTACAATTGAAATCACACTTGATGATTTACAAAATAAATTCTTAAAATCATTAAATAAAAATTATAAAGTCTTACAATTAACAGATGTTGCAGCTTAATAAAAATTAGAATAATAAAAAGATTAATAAAATTAATAAACTTTAGCTATTACAGTAAAAAAATCTGATTTCTCAGAATGGTATTAATAAGTGATAAGAAAAGCAGAATTGATTGAATATTATGATGTTAGTGGGTGTTATATTTTAAGACCATGGGCATATTTCATTTGGGAATAAATTTAAAGATATTTAGATGATTTAATAAGAAGAGAAGATGTAGAAAATACATATTTTCCAATGTTTTTACCAGCTAAAAATTTAACTAAAGAGAAAGAACATGTAGAAGGATTTAAAGCAGAAGTAGCTTGGGTTACAAGGTATGGAGATAGTGTTTTAAATGAACCATTGGCAATTAGACCAACATCTGAAACAATTATGTACCCAGCATTTGCAAAATGGGTTTAGAGTCATAGAGATTTACCATTAAAAGTGAATTAATGGACAAATATTGTTAGATGGGAATTCAAATATCCAACTCCATTTATAAGAACAAGAGAATTCTTATGGTAAGAAGGACATACTGCTCATTCAACAAGTGAAGAGGCAATTAAATAGGTTTATACTATTTTGGATTTCTATGAATAAGTCTATAATGAATTGTTAGCAGTCCCTGTAATCAAAGGAGTAAAAAATCATATAAATTTAAATAGATTAAAACTGAATCAGAAAAATTTGCAGGAGGAGATTTTACTACAACAATAGAAACAATAATTCCATAGAATGGAAGAGGATTATAAGGTGCAACATCTCATCATTTAGGATAGAACTTTAGCAAAATGTTTGAGATAAACTTTGAAGATGATAAGAGATAGAAAACATTTGCATGGCAAACTAGTTGGGGTTTAACTACAAGATCTATTGGTGCTATGATTATGTTTCATGGTGATGATAAAGGATTGGTATTACCACCAAGAATTGCTAAATATCAAATTGTCATAATTCCAATTATACATAAGGATATTGATGAAATATAATTGATTGAGAGATGTTAATAAATTAAATAAATGTAAATGAATTTTAATATATATAAATATAGATTGATATAATAAAATTTAAGAGTTCATATTGATGCTAGAGACAATTATTCTCCAGGTTGGAAGTTTAATAAATGGGAACAAAAAGGAGTTCCAATTAGATTAGAAATTGGGCCTGGAGAATTTAAAAATAATGAAGTAAGAGTTGTTTAAAGATTCGATAATAAGAAATATTAAATAACAATACAAGAACTTAATTAATTAAATCATATTCTTGACAATATACATAATTCAATGCTTAGCAAAGCTAAAATAGAATTAAATTAAAGAATCAAGAAAGCTGATAATTGGAATGAATTTATGTAACATCTTAATCAAAGAAATACAATATTAACTAAATGGTATAATATTTATTTATCATTTAGGTGTGAAAGAACTGAGTGTGAAGAGTAAATCAAAGCCAAATCAGGATCAGAATCTAAAGAAAAAGATTTAGAAATTGATGGACAAATATAACTTACAGGAAGTGCTAAAACTCTATGCATACCTTTAAATCAAGAGGAGATTTTAGAAGGATAAAAATGTTTCCATTGTGGTTGCTAAGCTAAAAGATATGTTCTATGGGGAAGATCATATTGATCTGTTCATAATATATTATATTTTTAATATTATAAAATTATCATTAAAATTCTAATTATTTTTTATTTTAAAAAATTATTCTATAAAAAATGAGTTGGAAAGTAAATGTGTTTATATAATTAAGATTAAAGAATCCATACCAAGAGTTAAATTAACACATTTAACTAAAACTAATATTATTGATGTATGGTCTCATAATTTCATGGCTGAAATCACAGAAATAGCATCTCTTATTGAAGAATTTAATGTCATATCATTAGTATTATGATAAGAATCATTTTAGGATACAGAATTTCCAGGAACAGAGTATGATCAACCAGAAAATGATGATAAAGTGAGTTGAATCTAGATATAATAGGATTATGAATATTAATAATTAGTAAGAAATGTTTAAAAATATAAACTCATTCAACTTGGAATTAGTATATCAAATGAAGCTGGTGAAGTACCTTTGGTTAAAAATACTTGGCAATTTCATTTTAAATTTAATGCATAGTATTTGATCATGTAATAATATTTAGACATGATTAATTAATGAATCCTGTGAAAATTATGTTAGAATAAGCAGGAATAAGATTCGATGATTTAGCATCTAAAGGAATTGATTATGTAGAATTCTGCGAAGTAGTAACTGGAAGTGGTATTAATATGATTAAAAATAAGGAATTATTTTAAATGATGAAATTAAATATGTTGTGTTTCATGGAGAATTTGATTTTGGATATTTATTACATTTATTTCATCATTCAGGAATTCCTGATACTTAAGAAGAATTCTATAAAATGATGAAATTGTATTTTCCATCCATTTATGATTTGAAATATATTCTTAAAGATAATCAAAAATATAAAGATGCTGGATTAAGTAGATTAGCAACAAAAGTTGAAGTTACTCGTATTGGTCCTGAACATTAAGCAGGATCAGATGCTCTACTAACATTATAATGTTATTATCAATTAAAATTTTGTTTTCCAGATTTGTAAAGTGATTTTGATAAAAATATGAATATCATATATGGTATTGGAAAAGGTTATGTACCAAATAAGTATTTTTAATTTTTATATTTTAGTCGACGTAAAACTTATGCTTCAACTTCATAGACTCCAGATCCAAATTTATAAGTTAATACTATGGATTAATAATATTACTACAATCAAAATTTTTAATATGATGAACTTCAAACTTCTTATTATCAATATGGATAATAATATGTGAATTTCAACTATTTCCAATATTAAATGCATGAACCTGATTAATCCAAAAGAAAAGGTTATTGAACATTAAATAATTATGAATTATATTATTTATCAGTATATCAGAATCATTTAACTCAAAACATTAAATCTTCTGTTTTGAACTCTAAAAAGTCTTTTTTATATTTATAAGATAGTTATATATTTATTAATAATTATTAATTTTTAGAATTAAATGAAAAAAGATTCAAAATTAAGTTAGATTATTTCTCCTAAATAAGTTGTTTAATAAATTTTAGATTAAAGTGAATCAAAAAAAGTGAATGAATCTTAATAAAAAATGATTTAAAAGAGTAGAATACAAAAATTTAGAACTGAAGATTTCTCTTTAAGAAGAAAACTACAAAACTAAAGCTTTTTTGGTAAAATGAAAGTAATATGTAAAGGAATTCAATAATATATTTACATATTACTAGAAGATCCTAATTCTTCTTTAATGGCATATTGTTTACAATTCCTATTATTAACAAGTATATTGTTATCATGCACAGCAATAATAGTAGATTCATTAATGGAAAACAGTATGATTATTATTTTAAAATTAGAAAGTAATGTTGAATATGATGAAATATCATTTTATTTAGAATATTATTTATTCCTTTTTTTTGGATTAGAATACTTACTGAGAATGCTTAGTTCAACAGCATTTGATTAAAAATTAGCAAAATTCATTTTATCTCCCTTAAATTTGATAGATTTACTTGCAATAATGCCTTTCTTATTTAATCTAATATTTGAAGGTACAAGTCTTTCTGGATTAAGAGTGATTAGAATAGTAAGATTTATGAGAGTTTTTCGATTGTTTAAACTTTCTAGATTTATAAAGGATATGTTAATAATTGTAAATATATGAATCACTTATAAAGGTAGATACAGTAAAGCATTCGGCTAAAGACATAATAATTTTGATTACAATGTTTCTCTTTTTGGTCTTATTTTTTTCAATTATAATGTATTATTTGGAATATGATGAAATTTAAATAGTAGAAGATGAATAAAAGATTCATTCTATAACTGAAGCAATATGGTGGTGTATTGCAACAATGACAACAGTAGGATATGGTGATAAAGTGCCTTTAAGTGTTTCTGGAAAATTTATAGCTTGCATAGCTGCATTTCTTGGAATTACATCTATTTCATTGTATATAATTATACTTAATAGACCTGTTGCAGTTATGGGAATGAATTTAACTTAAACATTAAAAGAACATGAAGAAAATAATGAGATTTAAAATTTGAAAAATTAATTTGTAATTGAAAATGATACAGAATTAATTAATAATAAACATGAATAAACATAATTAAATCTTAAGGAATTAAAATTTATGGAAAGACGATTAGAATAACTATTAGAAAATAATTAAAAGGTTATGGAGTATGTAGAATAATCTTAATTATTATTTGATGAAGTTACATAAGATTTAATGAGTTTATATTCAGCTTTAACTGAATAATTAGATCTTCATATAGAAACTAAAATGAAGAATTTAAAAGCTAGACATCGTGTAAACTATATAATCTTTATTTATTAGATTATGAAAATGGAAAAGAATCTTAATCAAAAGAAATCAATAGAATTAAGTTAAATTGTAGCAGCTTTTAAAGAAAAATAAAAGTTAATATCTGAAGGTTCTGTTTTAATGTGTGAAGAAAGTTAAGCTGATGTCTTTAGTATTGCAAGTAGATAAAGCAAATAATATACTGCTAGAAAAAGTCAAAAATTAAGAAGTAAAAACTCAAAGGGATCTTATCTATGTGTAATTAATAATAATAATAATAATCCTTTCAAAACTTAAACAGATTGTAATGATCCAGATTCTCTTCAAAATAGTTTAGTCAATGGTTAGATAAGTTCTAGAAATTCTGCCTTTAATTAAGATATGCTCTAAAATATTGGAGGGAATGCTGAATTTAAATTCAATCTTGAAGAATCAAGTGGCAATATTGATGATGATGATGAAGATGGAAATGATCTAAGTAGTAAAATGCAAAGTATCAAAAATATTTAAGATTTTAAATTGAAAAATAGTATTAAAAATAATAATATATGAACTGCTACGATTAATAATTTTTCGAGTATTAATCGATTGAGTTAAAGACAATTGATCAAAGTTATTCTTAATTCAATGATATTATATACGATAAAAAAAAAGGTAAGTTCGATCACGATGAAAAAATGTAAGAAAAAATGTATGAAAAAAAAAATGATTAAGAATATTTTGTTTATATATTAGATAATTATTGTTATGCAATTATAGGTAATTTTATTTATTAAGTTTCCTATGCTTGTAATGCATTAGAATTTATTTTAGGATTAAGATGGTATCAATTTAATGGATTTGGCATAGATAATAATCTATATTTAAAAATTAAAACCTTTCATCTCTAATTAACAAAATGTGATATCAAAAACCCAATAATGGATTTATTCAATAAAATCCTACACTTGATTTGGATTGACACATCAATTGAAAAATTATAAGCTGCTCGATTATTATATAATTAAATCAATAATAATCAATATTAATTCTCAGATAAATAAATCTGTGATTTATATTCGAATCTATTACAAAAAATTAAAACATTAAGTATTCAATAATTTCAATATTTAGAAAATAAAGAAACTTTTAAATAAAGAGTTCATATTATGAAGTTAGATTTCATTATATTTCAACTCTATGAATATCAGCATTTTCCTGATTTCAAAAAAAATTGCAATATGTATATTTTATCCATAAAAATAGATGTAAAGTATGTTAATAACATAAATCAAAATATTTTTGCAGTGGATGCTATTTTTTTACGGGAAAAAGATGGAGTTTATGCTTGGATGGATGTTTTAGTAAATTTCATTAGGATCCTAGTAAATATTTAATTAGAAAGAGAATGAAATATATTAAATGATGTATAATGAATTTCATTAATAAACTGGGATGCAAATTTATTAACCAAATTTAATTATTATTCTAGCTGCAAAGAAGCACATCGTTTCAATAAATTAATAATCAAAACAGCATCAGCCCCTTTAATCCAGATTCTACCATTCTTACCAACACAAACTTCAAAACTAGTATATTTACTTATTTCTTTAAATAATTCAGGCTTAGTTTAAGAACTTAAAAGACTTTATACAAAGTTGAAAGGTAATTCCACAATAACACCCCCTGACAATTCTCGAAATAGATTTTCTCCTGTAGTCTTTATAATTTTATACTTTTACCCATTCTTTTTTACTTTAAGGATTTATATATGATAATTTGCCTTTTAAATAGTGATTAAATTCAACGACTCTTGAAAATAAAAATTATCCAACTTAAATATTTGGTTTATTCTTTTTTGTTGCTCCTTCAAAATCCATTTAATTTAGATTATAAACAAGACCATTACTAAGTTCACAAAAATAATATTCACTATTCTTACAGTGACTTAAACAATTACATAGTCATTAATTTCAGGCTAATAGTATATAGGATTATGACAAATTGCGATTTTTTATTAATCAACCCAAAACCATCCTACATGTAAGGTTTCTATTTCTAGTTATTTAGTTATATTAATATCTTGTTTATTTGTTTTTATTGTATTTCCACTTATCATACTTTTGAGTGAAATGGTTTCTCCAGGTAAAGTTATATATACAACAGCACTTTACATTAAATAATTTAATTTATGGCAGCAGAATTTTAAATTATTGTTGACAGAACTATTAAAATATATCAAATATAAATAAATTTTCTAAAAAATAATAATAATATTTAGATTAAGTAGAGAATATTTATAAGAATAACGAAAAGGTTAAAAGGGTGTTATTGATTGAATACAATCTAGATTCAAGATTCAAGAAGCACTTAAGCAGTTTTAGAGAATGTATAATATTCTGGAGAATAATAAAAAAATTTAATGATAAAAATTTGTTAGCAAGAATGAGAAAACTTAATTGAAAAATACTTTTTATAATACAAAACGGCAAAAAGTGTTTCAAAACATTATCGCATTTGAATAAAACATTTAATTTAAAGGTAAGTGGGTTGTAAGTGTGAAATATAATGTAAAAAATAATAACAAAAATTATGAATAAGGGTAATTCAGATATTCAATGTAAATTAAACAAATTTTTCCTAACATTCTACACTTTATTCACGTTGTATGGTTTTTTGGCTGCTTAAATTAGCTCTTACTAAGCTTCATGTAGAATATCGCAAATGCGATTTGCTGCATTTTTTTTACTGTGAATAATAACTGTATTTGGACAAGTTGTGTTAGACTATAATAATTATTTATTGGATTACATCACTTTGAATAGGAGTAGTTAAAGATGAATTTTCAATCTCTTTTGTTAACATCTCACTAAATTCATTGATTTCCTATTCATTTTAAAAATCTTCTTCCTTATAGAATTATTAAAATTGTTATTATGTGATAATGTTTTCTTACAGAAGTGTTTCTAATACTACTTGTCTGCTTGATAATCTTGATTAATGTTTTGGTTTTAAACTAGGAGATAATATTGGAGAATCATCAAATTATTAGGTACCAAAATTAAATCTTTGATTTATTGGATCATCATCCTATTCATCAGATGAATCCATAATGCTTGATCTAATTGTATTGAAAGTTTCTAATAAATTTTATTTAGAGTTTTATGATAAGTAATTTTATCTTTAATATTGCTATGAGTTAAGTAATCTATAGAATTCACTTTCTCCAAAGTAATTGATGAAAATTTAATTAAACAGAAGCTCTTAAACAGATTAAACATTATTATTCATCATTTCTAGTACAATATCTTCTTTTTCAGGAAATCTAGAACTTTTAATATAATATACTTTGTAATTAAGTAAGTCTTTATTAATTGAACATCTTAAAATATTTCTTTAGAATATTCGTGTGTCATCTTTTTTATCCTGTAATTATCTAGAATTTCCATATTGCAATTGTCATCCAACAAAATTATGTTAGAAACCTATTAAAAAATTAAAACGAATTTTACTAAAAAGTGATTTAAAATCCAGCCTTCATTATGGTATTTGTAGAACAATTTTAATAAACCAAAATACTATTACTCGAAAGTCAACTCATGAATTTACTTTCCGTTTAAATATGAAATGACAATATAAAGATTTTGTTCATCCTCATATAAATACTCATATTTTTAGTTTCTTATTATCTATTTTAAATAATCTTTTCCTTCTGATTTTAAATACTTCTTTATTGATTTTGGCATTCCACTCATTTTATCTCGACATTACAATATCTATTAAATTACAACAAATATTACTTAAAATTTCTCCAATTAGAACAACACTTTTTCAATTTCATAATACATTTCTATATCCAAATGAATACATTTTTAATTTATTAACTAGTAAAACTACTGTAAATTAGGCCCGTTGATATTTATTTAACCAAATTTATTTTATAGAGTTACTCCTCTCTCATCTAAATTAATATATGTTTCCACTAAATTTATATATTAACTATTGGCAAATAATTGATCTTAGATCACTCTAAATCTCTCCAGTCCCCTTTCAGAGTACAAATCAAATGTTTATTCCTTCAAATTTATGAAAAATATTTACTTCTTCATCATCCAAATTCATTTACCATTTATCTTTAAATGGATTCCAAAAGGATTCAGCAAATAAAGAATCTTAAATCATTTATCTAATTATTTTTTTAATAATAATCATTTTATAGCTTATAATAATTGCTTATATAGCCTCTCATATCATTTTCAAATTTTATATATAATATATACAATTCATTTAATACCCAATTTAATTAATCAATTATTACACATTTATAAGGTTTAGATCATTTTATTAAATATATATTTCATTCTCAATTCATCTTACAAATATCCTTTAATAAATTATTCCCTAAATTAATTATGTATTTTTACAATTATACCAAAAACTTAATCAAAGCTATTCCAACATTTTAATTCTCATGGTCTAATCAAACAAAGAATGTTTTAGAACTATTTTCTTCTTTTTTTGCTTCTACCTTTTTTATAAAATAATTTATAAACATTATTCATTTCTGATCATATTGCTAAGCACGTTCAAAATTCCAGGAGCAATTAATAGACTTATTCTTTTATTTTTTTTGATTTAAAAGTATGCAAATAACTGATTTGAAATGTTTTTTAATTAATAAAAATAACAATAAATCAAATAAACTGAATAGTGTGTCATTATTAAAAATTCTAATATATAAATGTAAACTGTTAAATTCAATCAATTATTATTTAATAGCCTAGTCTATTGAATTATTTTTATTCTAAAGTACCTTAGCTATTAAGCTAAAATAATTGAAATCAGTAATTAAAAACACCTATCATAAAATTTTAGACTTTATTATGATATCGTATTTCTGTATTTTTATGACGTTAATAATCTATTTTATTAGTTCAAAGATAAAATAAAAAAAATAAATTAGAATTTTTATAAAACTCATAAAAATAATATTTAATTACTTTCAAATGGACTCTATTCATAATTGAANTTAGGCCCGTTGATATTTATTTAACCAAATTTATTTTATAGAGTTACTCCTCTCTCATCTAAATTAATATATGTTTCCACTAAATTTATATATTAACTATTGGCAAATAATTGATCTTAGATCACTCTAAATCTCTCCAGTCCCCTTTCAGAGTACAAATCAAATGTTTATTCCTTCAAATTTATGAAAAATATTTACTTCTTCATCATCCAAATTCATTTACCATTTATCTTTAAATGGATTCCAAAAGGATTCAGCAAATAAAGAATCTTAAATCATTTATCTAATTATTTTTTTAATAATAATCATTTTATAGCTTATAATAATTGCTTATATAGCCTCTCATATCATTTTCAAATTTTATATATAATATATACAATTCATTTAATACCCAATTTAATTAATCAATTATTACACATTTATAAGGTTTAGATCATTTTATTAAATATATATTTCATTCTCAATTCATCTTACAAATATCCTTTAATAAATTATTCCCTAAATTAATTATGTATTTTTACAATTATACCAAAAACTTAATCAAAGCTATTCCAACATTTTAATTCTCATGGTCTAATCAAACAAAGAATGTTTTAGAACTATTTTCTTCTTTTTTTGCTTCTACCTTTTTTATAAAATAATTTATAAACATTATTCATTTCTGATCATATTGCTAAGCACGTTCAAAATTCCAGGAGCAATTAATAGACTTATTCTTTTATTTTTTTTGATTTAAAAGTATGCAAATAACTGATTTGAAATGTTTTTTAATTAATAAAAATAACAATAAATCAAATAAACTGAATAGTGTGTCATTATTAAAAATTCTAATATATAAATGTAAACTGTTAAATTCAATCAATTATTATTTAATAGCCTAGTCTATTGAATTATTTTTATTCTAAAGTACCTTAGCTATTAAGCTAAAATAATTGAAATCAGTAATTAAAAACACCTATCATAAAATTTTAGACTTTATTATGATATCGTATTTCTGTATTTTTATGACGTTAATAATCTATTTTATTAGTTCAAAGATAAAATAAAAAAAATAAATTAGAATTTTTATAAAACTCATAAAAATAATATTTAATTACTTTCAAATGGACTCTATTCATAATTGAATTTAATTGTGCTATTATTAACTTCTTTAAAGGTCAAATCAATATTCATATAAAAAATTATAATGAATAAGGAATTCAAACATTATAATCATCAGCCAATTTGGATTATTTTATTTTTAAAATATCACTAATTAATCCTTTTCATACAAATTATAAAATCATTTGCAATCTTAAATTAATAAGCTTTAGTCACAAAATTATCTTAATAGGTTGAATTTAAAGATGGATTAATTGATTAATTCAATTTTACTAAAGGATAGCCAATAATGTTTAATTATGAATTTCTAAAAATAGTGTAATTAGATAAATTTTTTTTAGAATAAAAAATTAGATTGATCTCTTTAAAAATGTCATCACAGTAAAAAATAATCAAATATTCAAAGGAATCCATAGAAAATCTTTAAAAAACCACAAATAAGAAATAACTTCCTGAGATATTTTATAGCCTATTATTCTTTTTGCTTCAAATGTTGTTTTTGAGAGATATAAAATTTTTTAGTATAAAGTAAAATGTCAACAATTCTTTATTTAACTTATTTTTATATTAAAAATAAGTGCAATTATAGGAAGAAGAATTATGATTTCGATATTAATTTTCTATCTTAGTTTCCAATTTAATTTGACAAAAAATTGTATTTTTAGATAGTTAATTAAGAATTTTTCATTTTTTTAATTGTTATAATTTTCTCATTTTTTATTTTAAAAATAGCTTTCCAAATCTGATCGATGAGTTTATCAAATCTGATCGATGAGCTTATATAATAACTATAGTGATTTATTTTTGTCTAATAATATTTTAAGAATTATCAATTTATGTAATAATATACTATTTTTAATACAAAAATTTAAAAGATAAAACATTTCAATAAAAATTATATACTTAAAATAAACTAAATAGCGAAATATATCTATTTATTTATAATTAGGGAAATTTTTAGCAATAAATCTTCATAATTTAAAGAGGTATTAGATGATGAAATCCATCAATTTATTAAATTTTAATTTGATTGAAAAATATTGGTAAAATTGATTTTTAATAGACCTTTGAAAAGGAAATGGCATTTTTTTTAATTATTAATGAAAGATTATTTTAATAAATTTATTTTGAATCTTTGAAAGATAATTAAAAAAATTTGAATTTATTTAAGTTAAAAATAAAAGATAAATTTCTGAGACATAATATAAAAATATGTAAGTAGAAGCAAAAATGATTAGTTGAAAAGAGGAAAGAAAAAATAAAAATTAATAATTTATTAAATTATAAATTGTGATTAACAATAAATGTTAACTAGAAGAAAAAGTTCTGAAATAATTGAACCAGAGGTTGTTAAGAAGATTAAAGGAAATAATGAGAACAGCAACTTAAAAGTCTATATAAAGAATAAATAGACAAGAAAAGTTTTGGAAGTAAGTATATCAATAAATAATGAAAGAGTCGAGGAATAACAAATTTGTTTCCAATATAAGAATAATGTTTTGAGACAATTTATAATGGAGATGATATAATAGGATAGGATAGAACAGGTTCAGGTAAAACTCTTGCATATTGTGTTCCAATATTGGAAAGAATACGAGGACTAGGATTAAAATAAAATAAAAATCCTTATGTATTAGTATTATTACCAACAAGAGAATTGGCAATCTAAGTAACAACAGAATTTAATTCAATAATACATAAAGAAAATGAATACAGAATATATAGTATATATGGTGGAACAGATTTAAGAAACTAAATAGATTAAGTGAGATAAGGATGTGAGATAGTGGTAGGTACTCCTGGAAGAATATAGGATTTATTGGAAAGAAAGGTTTTAAAGTTAGATGAGATATAAGTAGTAGTGTTAGATGAGGCAGATTAAATGTTGAATTATGGATTCTAGGAAAATATAGAAAAGATAATGTCATATTTTAATGATAGAAAAATATAAATGTTATTGTTTAGTGCAACGATACCTGAATGGGTGAAAGAATTATCATAGAAATATATGGAAAGTAATACTAAACATATAAATTTGATAAAGAGAAATGAAGTAAAATATATATATATGATTATATCTTTAGACTTAGACATCTACAACAGTAAAGCATTATGCGTTATAATGTGCAAGAAATTAATTAACTGGTTCAATAGGTGATGTAGTATCAGTTTATGGAGGAAGACATGCAAGAACAATTATATTTTGTGAAACAAAAAGAGAATGTAATGAAATTATTTTGCATTCTAAATTACCTGCTGAAACATAACCTTTACATGGAGATATTCCTTAATAATAAAGAACAGTAACATTTGAAGGATTTAAGAATGGAAAATTTAAATGTTTAGTAGCAACTAATGTTGCAGCTAGAGGTTTGGATTTCCCATAAGTAGATTTAATTATTTAATGTAATCCTCCAAAAGATATTGAATCTTATATACATAGATCAGGTAGAACAGGTAGAGCAGGAAAAGATGGTATATGTATTACCTTCTATTCTAAAAAGGATATTAGCTTAATTGAAAGAGTTGAGAGAATAGCTAAAATCAAATTTATCAAAATATCTGCTCCTTAACATTAAGATATAATTAAGGCTAGTTCAAGAGATTTATAAACAAGTTTATAAGTAGTTAGTAAAGAAATTGTTGATTTATTTTAACCTGTAGCTTAGGAAATTATATCTAGATGTGATCCTGTTGAGGCTTTAGCTAGAGCTTTAGCTTGTGTTAGTGGATATAAAGATAAATTATAGAATAGATCAATGATGGGATCATTTGAAGGATATATAACATATATATTAAGAACTTCTACATCATTCCAAGCTTGTGGATATATATGGAAATTCTTAAAAAATAATTTCTCAGAATAGATTTGTAATAGTATTAAAGGAATGAAAAAATTAAGAAATGAAAATGGTGTTGCATTTGATATTAGTGAAGATGTAAAAGAAGAATTTGAAAATTAATATTAAGAATTAACTTAAAATGGATATTGTAGAGGTATTGAAATTGAATAAGCTACTACTCTTCCAGATATTATTGAAGAATAATTTTAATAGCATTAAAATTATCATCAATAACCAACTGTTTAAGTTTCATAAACTGTTAAAAAAGAATAAGAAATATTTATTGGTGGATTAGATTTTAAAATTACAGAAGATGAAGTTAAAAATGAATTTAAAAATAGAGGAGTTGAATTATTTAATCTTAGATTATTAAGAGGTTAAGATGGATAATCAAAAGGATCTGCTTTTGGAGTATGTAGAACTAAGGATATGGTATCAATAGCCTTAAATTAAAATGGAACCAAATTTAGAGGTAGAAATATTCGTGTTAACATGGCTAATGAAAAACCAAAATGATAATTTTGTATATATTTAATCATGTACATTATAAATATTAATTATTCTTTAGGTCTAGTTGTGAATATTAAATATATTTATATATAAAACACATCTATATGTAAATGAATTCTATATGGTGTTAAAATTTTTAATATAAATATAAATAAATTTAAAGTCTTCATTAGAATGAATTAGTTATCAACTTAAATAGGCAAGAATTTCATCTTGCATTTTAGATCAAAAACATTTTGGCTTAATCTTTATATTCCAATTCTATGCATAATGGTGTGTTGCTTAATATAAGATTATCTAATAGTATATTTACTACCAATCTTTATTTGTTTAAACAGCAATGGTGTTCTCAGGGAAACTATTCAATTAATTGTAAAAGAGAGATCTAATAAATCGAAAGATATTTAATTATAATAGGGTTTAAACCCAATTTCATATTATGCTTCTTGGATTATTACTACTGTTACATTAACTTTTATTATTTCAGTCATATTCTTTGTTCCTTTCTTTATAATGAGATTAAATACAGCAGGCTTAGCATCAGTCAATGTTTATATTTTTATTTAAGGAGATATTATGTACACTATTGCAATATCAGCTTTCATGCTCTTTTTAAGTATTTTTTTCTCAAATCCACTTAAAGCTAGTGAAATTTTAAGCCTTTTAAATCTCATATTTTCATTTGCATCATATGTTAACTTTTATCCATATGCTGAATATTCATTTTTTGGTTAATTACCTGCTATTTTTTTGCCTTAATCAGCATTTTAAATGCTTCTATTCAGCTAAAATTGGATTTTCAATGAACCATCAGCATGTTTGAGTTAAACATCATATTTTCTATTTTTATTTTTCTAAATTATTATCTACTTCATTTGTTTTGTCTATTTTGATTAAATTTAGAAAATTTTAAAGACAAGAATTTGTAATAAATGCAAAAAATAAGATCAAATACATATTTAACTTGAAGAGGAATCATGTGATACAAATACAGGGAATCCAAATTAATAACTATAGAGACCATTTTTAAATATATATTAATAAGATTTTGAAATTTAGGGTTAATCAATAATTAAGATAGAAAATCTAAGTTATTAAATTAGGGATTAACCTATTATTAAAACTGTAAATTTGGATGTTTATTAAAATGAGACATATTGTTTACTTGGAGCTAAAGGTTCAGGTAAGACATCATTGATAAGCATACTTTAAGGATTCACTTAAAAAACTTCTGGAACTGTAAAAATATTCGGATAAGAGATTGATAAAAATGGATAAAAATAAATTGGTCTATGTTTGTAAAAGGATATTTTATATAGTGATTTAACTGTTTTAGAACATCTTTAATTATATGGAATTACAAAAGGGATATCTAAAGTCGAATTAGAAGGATAAATTAATGATATATTAAATATCTGTTAATTAATTGGAGAAACCAATTTAAAAGCTCGTTAATTAAATAATTTAAATTCTAAAAAATTATAATTAGCTATTTCTTTAATTGGAAATCCTTTAGTATTATTTTATGATGAACCAAGTTAAGACTTGGATTCTGTTGGAAGATAATAGATTTTGTAAATCATTAGATAAATTCGATTAAATAGAACAATAATCTTTACTAGCTTGCTTTTTGAGGAAGCTGAAATGTTAGCTAATAGAATTGGAATCTTAATAAATGGTAAAATAGTGGCATAAGGTACTCCGGACTTTATCAAAAATAATTTTGGAATAGGTTATAATTTGATTATGGAATTTACAGATGAAAACTAATTGATAATTGAAAAACCAAAGATTCAATAACAACTATAATAAATTGATAGTTTTATTTAAGCAATCTAACGTAATCCAAAAACTCTTTTTTGTGTTTTACCAACAAATAAAATCGATTAATTTCATTAAATATTCTATTATTTGGAGCAGAATTCAAAGTGCGTTTTTCAATTAAAGTAAAATTGTTTAGAAGATATTTATAAGACAATGGATTAGACAGAAAGCTAAGAAAATCTTGATTTGAATACTTAAACAATATTTTAATAATAACCCTAGATTTAAATCTCATAGTAAATTAAAAGTTTGATGATGAGAAAAATAATGTTACTAACTGAAAAAGAGAAATAATTTAAATATATGTTATTGTATTTTTTGATTACATTAGCTGTGATGTTTGGCATGTTTTCATCTTTTCGATTTGTATTATTTTATTTAGGAATAAAGGCAATAACATGCATTTTATTTACTGATTATGAATTTGAGGATAAGAATACTTAAATGAAATAGTTTCTTTTAGCTAATGGTGTTTCTATTCGAACATATTGGATAGGTAGTTTATTAGGAGATTTAATAATTTCATTTTTTGAAGGTGTTTTTACTGCAAGTTTATTATGGATTTATAATGTTGGCCATTTTGCATTTTATTACTTTAGTGTAATATTGTTAATAACTATTTTTGGATTTAGTTTAAGTTGTCATTCCAATTTTTTAATGCACAGCAATTAAAAAAAATCTGTAAGTGTTGGAATATCTTTTTTAAGTTTATTTGTTTTTTATACGTTATTTTTGGTGTTTATAGTAATTTTCATTTAACCAGGATAATCTGCAAGTTTATCTCTTATAGCAATGTTATTAATGATAATTTCACCCTACATGGCTTGCTTTATAGGGTTTGGAATGAGTCCAAGTTTATTAAATTATGCTATTTTTGGATATTGGTCTTGCTTATTCTTTTTATTACTTGGTGGAGGTTTATATTTCTTAATTTTAATTTCTTAAGAATAGAAGAAGTTTAAAAAAATTGAATAAGAAATGCATGATACAAATGCTATTGTTGATATAAAAGATGTATAATGGAAATATGGATATATAACAACCTAATAAAAGATAACAATGTAGATTAACAAATAAGAAATTTTTGGATTAGTGGGACCTAAAAATGCAGGAAAATCTGAATTCATTAATTTAATCAATAAATATAATTAGCCTTTTAATGGAAACATTAGAATAAGAGATTAAAATAATTAAATTGGAATAATGCCTTAATTTTCAATATTTAAATCTAAATTTACTGTATAATAAATATTAGAATTCTTTGGTAAAATTAAAGGATAATAAAATCTTCATTAATGTATTGAAATATTTTTAAGAGCTTTTGATATTTTTGAAATTCGATAAAAACAAATACAATATTTGAATGAAATAGAATCTAAGAAGCTTTATCTAGGGTTGGCTTTAATTGGAGGATCTAATAGATTGTTTTTAGATGAAGCATTTTAAGGATTAGATTCAAAATCAAAAAGAAAATTTTCTTAAATTATTTAATAAACTGCTATTAATAATGAAGCTGCTATTCTACTTACATCTTAATCCATTTAAGATGTTTAAACTATTTGCAATAAAATTGGAATATTTATTAATGGAGTTATTATTGCTTAAGGGACAATTAATGAATTGAAAGAATAACTTGGAAATCTTGCTAGATTTAGTGTAAGATGTTAAATTGGAAGTAGAGAATAAGCTCATGCTGTTATTTGCTAGACATTATAATAATTTTAATTTACGATCTAACCAATCTTTGATGCAAGAGAAAAGTAAATATGTATTATATTTTAATAGTTTTTTATCATATATGATACCGGCTTAATAATTCAAATTGTCTAGTCTATTCTCATTTTTGTAATTAGAGCTCAAATAAAAATATTAATTAATTACAGATTTCAATATCTATTAACCAAACCTAGAAGAAACCTTTGAATATTTTGCCTCTTAATAGATGATGGTCTTAAAACCTAATATATTTTTTAATTCAAATTTTTTAGAAGATCTTCATTTTGGGTGTGGACTTCGAACAGTGATGGGTTTGTTCTTCATTTTCTGGTGATTTATTATTTAATTCCAATTTTAATTATTATTTACAAATTATTATTACATTTTTTTTTAAATCGAAATTATTTTTATTATAACTACACAGTAAAGAACCAATATAAAACATTGAATTATTATATAACAACTATAAATTTATTCTGACATAAGATGTCACATATCATTAATTCATTTAGAAGGATTTCCTAAAGAAAGATTTACATTTTGGAGAATAATCAAAATCTAAAAATTTAAAAAGAAAATTCAATGAAAATAAAAAAATTGTCCTTTTCTATCTTGATTTAACTCAGATGTTTTATCATTAAGTATTAAAAATTGATCCTTATTTCAAGAATACACTGTAAAATTGTAAAAATAATAATCAAATTCAAAACTATAGCTATATTAATAATAATCCAGTAGATTCTTTATTTATTTAGAAGATATCATAAGGAGTCACTATGCTTATATTAAAATTAATGATAAATTGATTAGACCTCACATTATAGCTCATAGCTTAGCAATCACAATTTTATAATGATTAGATTTTANAAAATTTTCTTAAATTATTTAATAAACTGCTATTAATAATGAAGCTGCTATTCTACTTACATCTTAATCCATTTAAGATGTTTAAACTATTTGCAATAAAATTGGAATATTTATTAATGGAGTTATTATTGCTTAAGGGACAATTAATGAATTGAAAGAATAACTTGGAAATCTTGCTAGATTTAGTGTAAGATGTTAAATTGGAAGTAGAGAATAAGCTCATGCTGTTATTTGCTAGACATTATAATAATTTTAATTTACGATCTAACCAATCTTTGATGCAAGAGAAAAGTAAATATGTATTATATTTTAATAGTTTTTTATCATATATGATACCGGCTTAATAATTCAAATTGTCTAGTCTATTCTCATTTTTGTAATTAGAGCTCAAATAAAAATATTAATTAATTACAGATTTCAATATCTATTAACCAAACCTAGAAGAAACCTTTGAATATTTTGCCTCTTAATAGATGATGGTCTTAAAACCTAATATATTTTTTAATTCAAATTTTTTAGAAGATCTTCATTTTGGGTGTGGACTTCGAACAGTGATGGGTTTGTTCTTCATTTTCTGGTGATTTATTATTTAATTCCAATTTTAATTATTATTTACAAATTATTATTACATTTTTTTTTAAATCGAAATTATTTTTATTATAACTACACAGTAAAGAACCAATATAAAACATTGAATTATTATATAACAACTATAAATTTATTCTGACATAAGATGTCACATATCATTAATTCATTTAGAAGGATTTCCTAAAGAAAGATTTACATTTTGGAGAATAATCAAAATCTAAAAATTTAAAAAGAAAATTCAATGAAAATAAAAAAATTGTCCTTTTCTATCTTGATTTAACTCAGATGTTTTATCATTAAGTATTAAAAATTGATCCTTATTTCAAGAATACACTGTAAAATTGTAAAAATAATAATCAAATTCAAAACTATAGCTATATTAATAATAATCCAGTAGATTCTTTATTTATTTAGAAGATATCATAAGGAGTCACTATGCTTATATTAAAATTAATGATAAATTGATTAGACCTCACATTATAGCTCATAGCTTAGCAATCACAATTTTATAATGATTAGATTTTAAAATATTTGAATAAAGACATAAATGTAAAAATAGTTCTCTATTAGCTCCTATAATAAACATTTATCCATAATAAATTATATTTTTATAATGCATTTTTATTTGATAAGAATAGTTTTAAAATTATTGCTAATTATTTGATTAAGATTATTATGAAAATTGGAGTAAAGATTAAATTGTGAAATATTTATTTATTATATAAATAAATTGCTGTTTTAATAATGTAGCGAGAGGATTTAACAATATTTCCAAAGACACCTTAAATATAATGTCTATTTAATCCAACTACAATCCATCCTATGACTGCATTTGTAGCAAGATCATGCTATAAGTATAATTAACTCTAAAGAAACAAATAATAAAGAATCGTTATATAACACATACCATTAAAATAAAGGTCAAATGAACCAAGGTAGATATCTTTACCAAGAGCTTTATAAACAATAAAAAAATAATAGTTAGAATGTAAAAAATTTATACTTAATCTTAAGCATTGAGAAGATCATCAAAATTAAAAGATGGTACTTTGAGTTTAGTATTATCAGATATTAAGTAAGAAGAACTGATTTTATAGAAGATAGATAAATTTTAATAGTTATAGAATAAATTATAAACAAGTAATGATGATTTAGTTGAGGAAAGAAAAGTATATGTAAATGAATTAAGAAAATCAAATTCAAAGATAAAGAATTTATTAGAAATTGATAAGACTAAAACAATTTTATAAAATATATTAGGCGGAATGTAATAGAAAGTAGATGAAGTATCACATGCAAATCATATGAGAATTATGGGTATGCAAATAAAGACATTCAAATTATAAGAATAACAATCAATTAGAAGTAAAGCTATGTCTTAAGAAAAAGAGAGAGAGACATCAAAATCATTTGCAGAAAGAAGAGAATTGTAAAGTCGTTCAGTTTAAAAGAAGAGACATTAATCACCTTAGAATAAAATGAAGAATATATCTTAATAATATATGAAGACAAATAATAATTTTAAATTTTCATTGACAGATTATTCATCATTAAGTAGGGAACAGCTTTTTTAAATGAAATTACTTAGCTATCATTATTTGATATTTATAGTTTCTACATAAAGTAATTTCTATGTATAGCCATCAGAATCTATTCATGAATTAAAATTTAAAGTAGGAAAAGGAAATAATAGTTTATTAATAAAAGAATTATTTAAATCTAGATGGTGGTGGAATTTAAATTAAGAAGCTGATAATAAGGAATTAAATTTTATATGGACATAGATTAAAGTTCCATAATTTATGACTCTCCAATAATGGAGTAAAGATCCATTTATTTCAAGATAGAAATCTTTATCTTAAACGTCTGCAGAGTTAAAAAAGACAAGAAGAAAACAATCACCAAAGAATGTTAAACGAAATTAAAAGTTTGGACAATATGATGATCCATTATAAAAATTAATTATAGGATAAGATTTGGATGAATTAAAATCAATGGAAAAATCAATTTAAAGTTTTTTAAGATATGTAGAAAAGAAAGATTTAAAATTGATTGAGAATGTTAATAAAGTATTTAAAAATAAATTAAATTATTTAGATTCACAATCATATAGAAAGAAATTATCATTTAGGTAATAAGAAAGCTATGTTTCATAATATGAAGAAATATTATGAATTAACAAAACAAGAGTTATTTCTTCATTTACCTATAACATTCCATGTATCTGGAGTGAAAGACAAATAATATTAATAGTTTGTAGAATATTATAATTAGAAGTATTCTAGATATATTTATAAGGAAGGGAAACAATATTTGGATTGTCAAGCCAGGAGAATTTACCAATAGAGGAAATGGAATAATTGTTTGTTAAAGTTTGGCTGAAATAAATAAAATTGTAAGTAAAAAACAAATACATTCTAATGGCAAGCCTTTTACATATTTGATACAAAAATATATTGAAAAACCATTTTTATATAATAAAAGAAAGTTTGATATAAGATGTTACTTTATGATAACTTAATTGAATAATATAATCAGGGCATATTGGTATGAAGAAGGTTACATCAGAACTTCAAGTGAAGAATTTGATATAAAAGATGTGAGTAATTAATATGTGCATTTAACTAATGATGCAATATAAAAATATAGTGATGCTTATGGAAAGTATGAAAATGGGAATAAATTATCATTTGCAGAATTTTAAAGATATTTGGATAAATGGCATAGTAATGATCATTTGAATTTCTATAAGGATTTATATCCTTAGTTAAAAATGATCACTTAGAATGCTATTAAATCTGTATATAATAAAATAGAACCATATAAGAGAAATTACAACTTTGAAATTTTTGGATTAGATTTTATGATTGATGACAAATTCTAGCCATATTTAATAGAAATAAATACAAATCCTTGTTTAGAGTTAAGTTCTCCTTTATTAGGTAGAATAATTCCAGCAATGGTTGAAAATGCATTAAGGTATTATATAAATATAAAATAATTTTAGATTATCTATAGATACATTAATACCTCCTCCTGAATAATCTACATGGCCACCAAATAAAAAACATTTATTATTTTATGATAATATGTTAGAGAATAATAGATTCTAATTGATTTTTGATGAAAGAGAAGATGCATAAGAATTAAAAATTTTATATAGCAATTAATTAAATGATGATTAAATAGATGAAATGAATGAAGAAGAAGAAGAATATCAATCAGATGATGATTGATTCAAATAACCTTAATTTTATACTCAATCACATCCTACATAATCTTCTGCAATTACTTATTTAACTTCCACTATATAATGACATAGCATCTTTTCAATTCCATTTTTTAAAGTAATTCCTGAAGATGGACATCCAGCACAAGATCCTTTCATATATAAATAAACAATTCCATTCTATTCATCAAAATTTCTAAATACAATATCTCCTCCATCCTCTTAAACTGTTGGTCTAATTCTACTATCAATAATCTCTTTAATCATTTAAACAGCCTAATATTACATTAAAATTAACTTCACTATCCTCTTCATTTATTATTGTGTCTTAACCTTATGAAAAACCATCAAAAATTAATTATTTTTCAGAACCATCTTCATTCTATTTATATTATTCAGTAATCAATTCAAAAATCTTAGGTTACAAATCATCCCATTTACTATCTTAATTTTTAGATATTGATATATAATCCCTACCATAAAACACTCTTGTCACTCCCTCTATTTTAAATAGATTTTAAGCAAGAGGTGAACATTAAGCCTCTTTTGCTCTTGAGAAATCGTAAGTTCCATTTTGCATTACTAATTTACCATTTGGAATGAATTTTAGAAAATTTGGGTTTGGAGTTCGCTTTACCTATATTAATAATTTGTATAAATTTTTAAATTTTAACATTGTATTAATAATAAAGTTAAAATTTGCTCTTTATATATTCACATTTANATAGTGATGCTTATGGAAAGTATGAAAATGGGAATAAATTATCATTTGCAGAATTTTAAAGATATTTGGATAAATGGCATAGTAATGATCATTTGAATTTCTATAAGGATTTATATCCTTAGTTAAAAATGATCACTTAGAATGCTATTAAATCTGTATATAATAAAATAGAACCATATAAGAGAAATTACAACTTTGAAATTTTTGGATTAGATTTTATGATTGATGACAAATTCTAGCCATATTTAATAGAAATAAATACAAATCCTTGTTTAGAGTTAAGTTCTCCTTTATTAGGTAGAATAATTCCAGCAATGGTTGAAAATGCATTAAGGTATTATATAAATATAAAATAATTTTAGATTATCTATAGATACATTAATACCTCCTCCTGAATAATCTACATGGCCACCAAATAAAAAACATTTATTATTTTATGATAATATGTTAGAGAATAATAGATTCTAATTGATTTTTGATGAAAGAGAAGATGCATAAGAATTAAAAATTTTATATAGCAATTAATTAAATGATGATTAAATAGATGAAATGAATGAAGAAGAAGAAGAATATCAATCAGATGATGATTGATTCAAATAACCTTAATTTTATACTCAATCACATCCTACATAATCTTCTGCAATTACTTATTTAACTTCCACTATATAATGACATAGCATCTTTTCAATTCCATTTTTTAAAGTAATTCCTGAAGATGGACATCCAGCACAAGATCCTTTCATATATAAATAAACAATTCCATTCTATTCATCAAAATTTCTAAATACAATATCTCCTCCATCCTCTTAAACTGTTGGTCTAATTCTACTATCAATAATCTCTTTAATCATTTAAACAGCCTAATATTACATTAAAATTAACTTCACTATCCTCTTCATTTATTATTGTGTCTTAACCTTATGAAAAACCATCAAAAATTAATTATTTTTCAGAACCATCTTCATTCTATTTATATTATTCAGTAATCAATTCAAAAATCTTAGGTTACAAATCATCCCATTTACTATCTTAATTTTTAGATATTGATATATAATCCCTACCATAAAACACTCTTGTCACTCCCTCTATTTTAAATAGATTTTAAGCAAGAGGTGAACATTAAGCCTCTTTTGCTCTTGAGAAATCGTAAGTTCCATTTTGCATTACTAATTTACCATTTGGAATGAATTTTAGAAAATTTGGGTTTGGAGTTCGCTTTACCTATATTAATAATTTGTATAAATTTTTAAATTTTAACATTGTATTAATAATAAAGTTAAAATTTGCTCTTTATATATTCACATTTATTCCAACTTAATATTCACATTATACAACAAGCACAATCCACTTTAGTAACCCTTCTAGATTCCATATTCTGTAACTAAAGAGAATCCTTTTTATCGGTATCATCAAAATAAAATACTTTCTTTTCAAAATATCTTGTATATTATAGACTTTTACCTTAAATTACTGGCTGAGTATATGAGTGATGGCTTTGATATTTATCTAGTATAACCAATTAAAGTAATTTCATTAAGTTTAAATGATATTGCTTAAATTTAAAATGTTTGTGATGCATTTCCACCCAAAATAATTAGTACTTTTTATTTAAAAACATCATCTACCATCTTAGTGACAGAAGCATTATAAAAATGATTATAAACTTTCTCTGTTGCAACAATATTTTAATATTTTATAGTAAGAGTATCAACTATAGAGAATTTCCCAAAATTCAAACTTAAATTGGCTTAATCAGTGATTGAAAACTATTGAAGTCTATTATAATAAATGTACTAGTTTAGCTCTTGCAATATGTTCTAAAATTAATTTTAAACTAATATATTCACAAGTTTAATTAGCTTCAATCAATTCTTAATCAATCTCTCTTACATAATCCAATAAAGGATTTCCTCCCATTATAAATATATATTTTTAATCTACTGATCTATGTTCAGCATCTATTTTTTCTTTATCTCTATTATCTCTGTCTTACCAAATCAAACCTTTATCTTTAATCAAATCAAAAACTATAGGATTCATTCTAGATTTTGTCATTGTTATTGTTAATACAGGTGTCAATGTAACTTCTCTTCTTTTTATTTCAAATACTTTTATAGTTTTTAATGGCTTTTTCTCTCCTCCTCTCTATAAATGATGTCCTCCAATTACAAATAATACACTCTTCCATTAATATTCATGTTCACATTCCACTAAATATAACAATGGATCCTATCTAGGCTTATCTTCATTCAAATTTAACGAAACTAATGGTTTATCTTTATTCTCATTTATCAACATATCTGAACTGTAAATATGTACTTTCCCTTATTTATTATCATAAATGTAGAATCTTCCTGTTGTCTTCTCTTAGACTATTGATAATGATGGTCTCTATCCATTAAAATCTTAAAGTCTTAATTGCTTCTCCCATTAAGTTTTATTCCCTAAATGTTGGCTAATTAAAAATAAATTTTTAGGAGCTATGAAACATAGTTTAGAAATCTGATTTTTATATAATCTAACATATTGCTTTTTTGCTGCTATCGTCTCTTTTACAATTGAAGTCCCACTAGCTTTTTATTCCCTTTCTTTTCTTTTAATTCGAACTAAAATTATCATTTCTAAATCATCAAATACTTTTATCTAGATTTTTAGCTTCCTCATAAGATATGCCTTCATTCTTAAAAATCGTCTTATTATTATAAATCAAATTAAATGACTCTATTTCAGGTATTTTTGTTAACAATTAAATTTCTTAAAAAAAATTAGGTTTATCTTCCTAAGATTCTTCTTCTATATTTTCTTTCAATTATGATGAAGGAAGTAATACAGGATTATAAAATGCTCTTATTTATTCTCATAAATATCATACTAATTTCCTTATATTATTATATCTATTGTTAGAGTTGAATCATCTACAGGCTTATTAATCACTTTCGTTTCTTGTTTTTGTTACTAAGTACCATAAATATTTCTATATGTGTATTATTGAATACCTATTCAAAGTTATTATGTCATTGATGTCAATACTATCACTCATTTTAATTAATTTTTTACATTGTGTATAAATAATTCATTATTACCACAAAAGAATACACCAAAATTTTTATAACTTAATATTAGAATTTGAT